ATAGACGCTGGCAAATTATTCCACTAATTTTCTGTAAGCATTAAAAATGTCCAAGTAAACTGTTTGGCTCCATTGCGAATATCGACAACAAAAGTGTGAAGACCCACCAACCACCTGGTCGTCCGATGGTGGAAATGAGAAGGAGGAATTAAAGCGTGCAATTCCTGCGCATACTCTCCGAAATGCATCCTATATAATACCGAGAGTCTGGCTACTCTGTGCTATTGGTAACCTTGACAAGGTTGGTTTCAACCAGATCAAGGTTACCAATGAGCCTTTTAGCACGTCTGTGCACTGAGTCCAACGCTGCTGGGTGGCATTTTGCAGCACCAGGCAATAAAAAAAGATAAATATTGTGGATATGTAATATGTAAATTATCTTTATTTTTATTGTGCTATGCTATGTCTTAAAATAAATAAGTATCAAGCACCGCAATAAAAGTAAATGCGATTTTAATAACCCCATTAAGAGAACAAAGGATTATACAACGTTACGTGAAGGGCTTACTAAAACGCTTTCTTTTAAAGCAAATACAGAAACAATTGGATCCGCTGCGCTAATATCCACTTTTATTTGGAGTCCTTGAATTTTGCAAACATTACCCATTAAGAGTGAGTGCCTCGTTTTTTCGAACACGAAGTTTAAGTATGTGTTTATTGGAAGAGATAAAGACATCATTATCATCATTATTTAGGCTGTAATGATGTTCGTGGCTCAACAAAATGGTAACGTGACAAAGGGGAACAATAAAATGGTGACTTATCCGTTATATAATTGCATAGTATGAACTTCGTTTAAAAAAATAAAGTTATCTATGGAATGTAGATTTGTATTAGTTTGAAAAAAAAATTAATTTAATAATAATTCATCACAACCCATGACTGAACACAGGCCATCCCTTAGATTACCTCATTACATTAGAAAACTCAATTTTATAATAAGACGCCTCTGCCTTGTTTTCCACGCCTAGTATGAAATCCACGGAACGATATGGGCTGGCGGATATTCCTACACCGCTAATTCACGGTAAGAATACACAAGATAGAGTAATATCACGGCATGTAAAGTGGTGACATTTCATCTCATGAGTGTAGTAAGAGGCAACGGAGAGAAACAAAGCAGAAGGTGTGTTGAAGCGTCTTCCTAATGGCATCTGGGAAATAAAAATCTTTGGTTTCTAACCTGATGCCGAGTGTGGCAACTGTGGCATAGATCTCACTGTGAGGCAACCTGTGGGGGTGAAATATGTTGAGCAATAGTCCTTTAAAAAAAACTAGCACTGCTATTAACATAACCGATAATCCCAACGTTCCTAATAATCTCATCAATCGAATCTTACGACAAACTGATGTCGAAACTGATGTTGTAACGTTCCTAGCAAAAGCCTAAAAAGCTTGTGTTAGGAATCTACAACAAACTGATGTCGAAACTGATGTCGTAACGTTCCTAATATAAGCATAAAAAGCTTGTGTTAGGAACGTTACGACACTAGTGAAATGGCGGATTCGAACCCACTACCTCTTGAGTTCTCGGTTCCCTTGTCATTAGGCCATCTGTCGCTTTAAACTTGATAGATTTTAATGATGATGATGATGATTTAGTTTCAAGGATGTCCTTAAGAGGGGAAAAGTAGTTAGAAAAATCTTACGGCTTCCGTTAGATTGAGGTAAACACCATTGTTTATGCCATCATAAACATACTCAGACGAGCAACTAGTGAATTCGACAAAATGTAACCAATTCCAGCCGCTAAGACGCAGCTTAGTAATAGCGTAATTAGTCCGAATAATTCCACTGAGCACTGCTTCTGTGTTTGAAGTGTTATACTCGTATGCTACACTACTTTACTCTATGACAGAGTATTAACTTTATTATCTCGTTTTTTCACTCTATTATTTGTAAAAAAAAAACAGATTATACATTAAACATAAAAAGCAAAGTACATACGAATTGACGACTTAATAGGGTAAACTTCAAAGCAGACAGGCTTCCTGTAACTTCCTCCTTCGGATGGTACGGCAACCTCGATGAATAATGCAAAGCTGATTTTATTGGCAGGGAACCATCAATATGATAATAACGAAGTAACTTTAACGGCGGTCCACGAGCTTTGGTTAGAAAGCACAACGTTTTTAATAAAGATATCAAGGTTACGGATGAATATTATAAGCTTTTTTACGTGGAAGAGACGCACTGCAGCGTATTTCAACTGCTGCAATAATGGATCGACTTGATCGGAAAGAACAACTCCAAGCACAATTTCACAGAATAAAAAAGTAAATTAAAGTAACAGCTTATATAGGTCCTACACCTGGGCACATTACTGAAAAGATTTTAGGGTAAGGAAATATCAACCAATGCGTGTTCCTGGAATTCACATGTCTTCGATATTTTTTTAAATTTTTCAGCCGGTTTTTTTATATAGAACAAGGGTGACAAAATGAGCACAGGTGAATTATGGCAGTACAGCAGGTACACGCTCGACTGCAGCCGGCTTTACTCATTCACTGTGACGTAGGCGCGGGACCCGAACCTTGTTGTTATGCAAAACTTGCTTGACGTGTTGGAGCTAGGCAGCCAAGTGTTTACTTTTAGTCACAAATCCCTCGTGCTCTCTGCAACAAAGATTTAACCGCGGTAGCTAACTGTGAAGGATGGTGGTGAGAATCACCGTTTAAATATCTATAAGTATGGATATAAGTGTGGCTCAAGGTATTCCTCGTTCATCAGGATTCCGAATTACTAACACATCTAGAAAAGATGAAGAATATTTTGCCTCTAACTCCATTACGAACAGAATTTTAGGATGAACCTGATGATAAGTGGATGTGTCCTGTGGCCTATAGAAAACTACACTATCCTCAATTAAGAATCAAAATTAAAGAATTTCTCACGATATTTTTTTTACATTTTAATTCTTGTAATCGGGGATAAGTTTAGGGGCCACAGAATTTTTTGGTTATCAGGTAAAGTGAGAACTCGGTATGAGCCTTATTAAAAAAAAGTGTGTTGCAAGTACAAATAAGTTTCAATCCTATATTAAAAATAGAAAAAATAACTAAGTAAAGAGTATGGCAAGCATCAGTATGCTTATGAAACCTAATGTTACTTGTTTTTATGAATATATATTTAACTCTGTTTCCTGTTCCCTTTGGAGCTCTTCCTTTGGTAATTTAAAATGAATGTGATGTTTAACGAAGTGATTTGCATTGTAAATGCCACGGAGGCTGTCTGAGTTCGGCAGTTGTAAAAAATTGAATTATTTATAAAATGCGGTGTCATAATGAGGTAAGCTTGACAATAGTGAGTTTTATCCGGTTCGAATACAACTATTTTTACGGATTTTGTCGTGTTTTATAATTCCCAACATTTTAAGTGCTTTCCAGCAGCAATGATTACAAAGGAACCTAGGTAATTTAAGTCCCGATGTCGAAGTTAATCTGGAGTACCTTCACCTTTTTATTACTTTTGAAGGAGCTTACTGTGCCTTGAGGTTTGCAATGGTAAACTACAAAGCATACTCATAGAAACCTTTTTTTATTCTTTCCACTGGGAAGTTATTAGTGTGGACCTTTCGGTCGTACCTAAACCACTTTTATTTCAACACTTCACTCCCACTCTCTGATAGTACAATTTTCTCCTAATCTTAGGGGTGTCTGGAAGAGATCGCTTTTTAGCGATAAGACTGCCTTATTGTACATATCTTTTACATATTTTTTGTACATATTTTTACTCTCTGTAATCTGTTTTTATATCATGTTTTTGGTGTGCAATGAAGTGTATATAATAATATCAAAGGTGTACAATTGCTTTCATACAAATAGATAGGTAAAAAGTTACTGCCTATATACTTTCCACTCCTGGGCACAGGCCTCCCGCTTATTTCTGAGAGGGTTTTAAGGCAAGTTGTCTGCCACGCTGCCCCAATGCGTGTTGACAAACTTCACATGTCTTCAAAATATATTTTTTCTTATTTCTCAGACATGCGAGTTTCCTCACGATGTTTTCCTTCACCGCCGAGCAAGTGATAAATCAGCACTTAAAATTTCAATTAACAATTTTATTCGTGCCGATGGGGCTCGAACCCGGTTCACTCGCGTACTGTGAAATTTACAGTGAGCGCTAACTATTTGAGCTACCACCAGGTCAGTTTTAATCCAGACACACTAAGTGAATAGAAATAATAATAACATTCTAGTTTTTTCAAGACTTTTCTGCATGCTGTTAAAACACTGCCTACGTTCCAATAAACTACCCAGTAGCATCATGTGGATGTCAAAAAGGCGATAGAAGGATATGCTAAAAATGATGGGCAGAATGATTTTCCCAATATCAACCTAAAACACTGCGGTTGCCCTCTAAGACTATCTATGGACAATAGGGTACATCCTTGACGTCAATTATTAATAACATGAATAAGTTCTTAATTGACGTCTTAATCAACGCGTTATAAATAATAAAACGTAAGTGATATTAAAACTTCTCATAACCCAACTAGATATCACTTACAAAAATCAATCAAATTCACGAGTTTTTAATCATATAAACCTGGTAAATATTAGGTGAACAAATGTCAAATAGGACATTTGTTAAGGATAGTCCTATAGGACTTTTAACAATTGATAATCTTACATTCTACAATTCAATTTGAGTTCGAAGTCAGGTCGAAGTGTGCAGTCAAAATTTTTTGAACTAATTCTAGAGTGCTTTTTAATTTTATTTTCACGTGGTGGATCCTGCTAACTAAAGAATAAGTCTGTTAAGAACTATAAAATAAATGGTGGAAAGCTCATACAATAACGCCGAACCAAAATTTCACAGAACGGGGAGTAACATTATCCGTGTGAGAGTATTAGCCTTCGACTTATCAACCCTTTTAAGTAACTGTACACTTACGTCATATTCTCGAAAAGGTGAACAGTGAACTTAAAAAATACATATAAAATATTCAAACCTCTTTTATCAATATATTGTAATGATATAATTATTTTTGCCCTCAGGCTTTCTTCCTCTTCTCTTCGCGGAGCGCAGCAGCTCGCAACGCTCCCCTCCTCTGGAAGATGACGCTGCAGAACTCTTTCGCGATGCTCCTCTCTATCCTCCCCTACGTAATGACATATCCTCACAAGAAAATTCCGACCTCACAGAACAAACCCACCTTACATACGATACGGAGACCAGTATCGAAGAAAATAACCTCCTGGTTACTCCAGAGGAGTCTAATTTAGAACTACAACATAATGGATTAGAAAATATTGACGTAACCAATAACTTTGAAAATAGTTTCGAGAATAGTGAAAACTCTGTTCATACAGATATTCAAGAACTATTATTTCATGATGATTCTAAAGAAGACGAAAACTCCTTAAAATCTTCGTTTTTAAACTATCACGATGTGACTAGCGATGTTTTTGAGGCATCAAGAGATACTGACGAAAATTCAGAAAACATAAGCTTTTTTACCCCTATCATTTCAAAAAAGGCAAATAGTAATGTATATAGAAAAATTTGGGAAACAAAAGCATATATAAATAATTTTACAAAAAAACATGAAACGTCTGAAAATCAAAATAGCATACCAAAATTTTTTATTTTGACTGATAAGCCTAAAAAATACGTAGAAAGTAGTATATTAGTAGCAGCTGAAAGTTCAGACGTAAATTCAGAAAATACTATTTTAATGACATCCGACAAAAATAAAGAAGGCGAGGCTGGAATATTATTAACACCAGATATTAATAAAACGATTAAAGATTCTATTTCGAAATCAGATGAAGTTACTGTCGAGGATGAAGATGTATCGTTAGTGACAACACAAGAATCGGAGAAAATTGCTGAATTAAATCAAAATAACAACGACAGAGTAAAAGCGATTAACGAGTATTCAGAAACAAGTCAAGAAAGAGTAAAACGTAGTCAGGACAGGGATACATCACCAAAGGTAAGATTGCTTTTTATAAGTTTATCGTACGAGAATTTATCAAATTCATTTTGTCACTGAGTCGCAAGCATCGCTTAAGAGAAATACTAGAAAGATATTATAGCTTCAAGCAACGATGACGACACAACCAGTGACAGGGTAGAGTTTCAACTGTTATAAATCAGTGCTTGTATATTCTATCCCACCCGATGGTAAGTAGTGATACAGCTTAAGTTGGTGAAGCCCACTGACTTAGCTAAACAAAAACCTATTCATTCTTGCCTTAAAGACATCCAGTTTGGATGATCTGGCAAATGATCAGTGCAGTAGCCCACTGAACTTACGTATTATAAACGATTTTAACGAAGAAAATCGTTTTATTCGAATGCGTATTATGTCGATATTAATAAAGTGGAGGCCAGCAAAGTGTCTTGCACTCCAACGATGGAATGAAGAGGGAGGAATTCAGTTTTGCGATTTTTGCACACATTCCTCGAAATATGTCATGTGAAACACCTAAAGGTCGGTAGCTTTACGCCTGTACTCGAGAGTACTAAGATTAGTTCTAATCTGTTTAGTGTCACTAATAAGCCTCTTAGAACGCCTTTTTTTTAAGTCCAAGCAAATTTAATGACAGGACTTGAGCTTTATATAGTGTAAACAACTGCCCCGTGTTAAGTTTTACAGCACCTTTGCAAGGAAATCTTACTTCCTTGCAGTTATGGCCCCGGACTCCATGAACTGCTCAAAGTTCAGGTTCGAGAAAAACCACAACCCCAATTAACTGAAATTGGTCTTTGAATTCAAATTAAATTTTGAAAAGAAATACCTAAAGTAAGCCGACTTCTTTTTGCAGTGTAGAGATAATCTTGTGGTTTGAAGGTGCTTAATCTCAAGAAATCCTCCGTTCTTCTAATCAGATCTGAGCATAAGTTGTACGATAAAAGCTTGCCCATAAGGCTAGCGTACCAGAACCTGTCAAAGTCTTTCAAGTTGTCAAGGGAAACAGCAACCGCTTACCTACCCATCTGTAGAGCCCCAGCGCACCTAGAGCCCCACCCCACATGTGTGAAGTATAAACATGAAGGTCCGTTGTCAACCGATTACGACAGGACCAAAACTGTCGGTCACTCAGAAGGTCGTTTTATTCAAAATATGCCTTAACGTGGGTGTTCTATATGGACGCCATAATGAACACCCAATAATGATGCAATAGAGATTGGCCGACGTTTGGTAGAGTTGGTACGGCTGCCTTTATTTTAGAATAGTCTGCATATTTGCCAGCTTCCAGAGCTTGGGTAAAACAACTCGAGTGAAAAAGCTTTTAGGACTACATACATACAGAAGATGCGGAGACTTATCACTTTCATGTATCACAGACGACTTCCCGTCGCGTTAAAACTGGCGACACAATCCTCAACATTCGCGGTGCCGTTCGCGATGCAATCGGAGACGCTGGAGCCGCGCCGGGACCGCGTCCTTCTACTCGCCTCGACGCGTTTGTCATCCGACCGGAGCCTGCACCTCGCATGCCCATGAGTGATGAGCCCCGCCCCGACACAGATGAACCGGCGCCAAAACCTGTTACATCTCCACAGGTCAGTTTGTTTCTGATTACGAAGCGGCAGGTCCTGAATTCGAATCACCGCTTTGGCCAAATATTAATACAGTTTATTAAAGCAGTAGGACAGAATATCAGATTGAATAAAGTAGGACCCAAAGTAGGTTAAAATATCAGCTAGAGTCTAATATTTGTCTCATCATCATTACAATCCATCACGAGTCTAATACTGACTCTAAACAAGAATAGCCACATACACAGACCTGAGCAACTTGCATCCATCGATTTCCTGCATTTTTTACTTGGTCTATTTTTCTGATACCTAAAATTCTATATTGTAAATTCTCTGATATTGAATTCTAGCCTTCTTTTCCATGGGGAAATGCCTACGTATACCCGCTTTGCTGGGGCAAGTACGGGTTATGTCGGACTCGTTCTGACTTAATCTCCATAGTGTTCTACCTTCGAAGCATACAGGCAGGGCCACATAAATTATTTTGCACTCATCCGCGGCTCCACCAGCGCTACCCGCCCCAAGGAAGCCCCTCCTCGCGGGAGGATTACTCTTTCCCTTTTGCTTTTCATCGCATCGTAGCCTACTCAGTTAAGGCTTCTGTTTTCACACGTACATATTTGGCACTGCAGTGCATCTCGAGTAATTAACATTTTCCATCTGTGTTTGAAAAGTTAAGACGACGTCGAGAGCGTATATTTGAACCGCCAAAATCTGTCATTATATCAATCTCATTAAAACCAACATTATTAGTGGATGAACAAACAACAGATAGCCTTTGACCGGGATTTTAACAGGATCTCTATATGGGTAGTCTTGTCAGTCTCATCGTAGTCAATACTTTACCATCTATTACTCTTTTTATCTTTAACTTGAAATGTGTAACAATTTTTTTAATTTCTAATCAGAAGCAAGAGCGGGAATTACTCGTGGCTGCTCATTCCTACGTTCGCATTCCTTGTGACCTTGTTAACGTCACCAATTTGCGTTGGTACAAAGATAATGAGGTAAGTGCTCACAGTGTAAGTGGATATTTATATCGGTAAAGTAAATTCCCAAGTGTAACGCCGTTTAACCGAAGCTTGTTTTTATCGCCACACACGGAACGTGTGCTGGTATATAAGTTTTGTTGTGAATATATTCGACCAAAAGGACCGTACCTCCGTCTACATAAAAACTTGGGCCTGCCGCTACAGAGCTGAAAATTGGCCACTAATTAGAGAATTTAGAAAGATTCAGGTTAATTTTCATGGCTGCCAGGAATGACGAAATTAGTACAATAGTGCGAATAATACATTTTAGATTATGTTTTGTATTTTGCAATATTTTGTAAGAAATGTAGGTACCAAGTGCCTCGTAATAGAAGTAGGTAACAATAAAATAGTAGTAATTATCTTCACAGAACATAATACTCTACAAAATTACCTTAATCACACGACCTGCAGCTATATGACGCTCTGTTGCAGGCCGTTGCGACACAGTTATTATATGGAACCACGTAGAAAGAGCGCGTGTGCCCGCCACGGTTAAGGCTATCAAAAGAGTGATTTAGATCATAAGACTTACCTAATGGATCATATCACTTCTGATTCACTACTCACTTGTAGCAATTGTGCTAACAAATGATAACAAAATACCAAGGGATTTAATGCAGTAGTACCTATGTATAAAACAAAAGCACAGTTGTGATAAATCATTTTATTATTCTTAATCACCATCATAAAATATAAAAATATTGTCCAAAAGTTGTACCGTGCCTTACCAAGATACCATGTGTTCATGGTGTGGGCACAGCAACCGACTTTTGTTTTAATAATACGATTACAGGACTATTGGATTATAGCATCCATTCTCCGATATGTACGAGCCATCTGCTCTGATGTGCTCCCTTTCGATCGGATCGGATTGAGCCTGTTTGGTTTGCTATATACCCAATGACACAAGAATTAACTCGCTATATGATAACACAGAAAAATCGCTTACATTATCTGTTTCTACATCTGTAGATCGAAATGTACGTCGATTCAAGTTGTTGCTAATCACATATGGACTTAATCTGTTTTTGACATACATATATTGATTTATCTTTTACAGAATTTTATGTGCATCATTATTGTAACAGGAGGGACGAAAAACCATTTGTAAAAAAATTAAAGCAACTACTTATAAACAAGTGTTACTATAGTACTTCTGAATTTTTAGAAGATAAAATATAATATGATATAGATATGTAAATATAAATATGTTAGATAATAATGAAATGCCATCGTACTAAATAAATTACAATAAAAAAATCTAATAAAATTTAAAATGATTCAAACAATTTAATAAAAATTCAACTGTGCTAATTATACTACCTATATTAATAAATTAAATATCAAATCAATTAATAAATAATAAGAATTATAATAGCTGTATTCAAAATTCAATGTTTTGTTTTTATTATAATGGATGTTAACATTAAATAATTATTCTACAATAATAATAATAAAACAAAATAAATGTTCCTCCTTCATAATGTTGCTGTGCCCATCAGGGTCTAGAGATACCATAAAACTATGTAACACCTTTTGTAACCTGGAATGCAACAAAATTATTGAGTATTGAGTATAGGGTGAAATGCATTAATCAAAACCGCAGTCGCTTCAAAATCTATTATTACATTTTTTTAAGCTTTATATATATGGTGATACTTCACGAATACTTCACACTTCAGTTCACGATGGATAAAGAGCCGTGGTAGCTCAGATGGTTAGCGTTCGCTGTAAATTTCACAATACGCGAGCAAACCGGGTACGATCCCCACCAGCACCAACGAAATTGTTAATTGCAATTTTAAGTGCTGATTTACCACGTGCTCGGCGGTGAAGGAAAACATCGCGAGGAAACCTGCATGTCAGAGAAATAAAAAAAAATATTTGTAAGACATGTGAAGTTCGCCAATACGCATTGGGGCAGCGCGACGGACAATTGCTTGCCCTAAAACCCTCGAAGAAATGAGCGAAGGCCTATGGCCAGCAGTGTGACGTACATAGGCTGTAAATTTACTTTATTTTATTTTTACGATGTATTTGCTTAAAGTTTCGAAATTTGGGATAAACCTTATTGATACATTCCATTTAATCGATTGTTATACTCATTTGTTTATTTTCATATTTTTAATGTTAGCTACGATAAAAAATATATATTAATTTGGATTAATTTTAGTGTACAAAATACCTGTTCGTTTTCCTACAATATATGTACATACGCAAACTTGTTATTTGTAATCAGTCGCAATTAGAGATTCGAAGAGTAAAGACACTGTGGTTTTCATTTACACGTGAAACAAACAAAAGTGCACCTTAACTGCGGCAACGTATGGTCCTTCGAGCCATATCGATCAGCGAAAAAGGATTAAGTGCAGGTGCAGATAAAAAAATGTGAGAACAATAGATTTCGGGTGCTTCAACTCGTAAACAAGTGACGTAACGCTAACGCAATTAGCACAAAATATTTCTCGACTTTAATAATAACTGGATAAAAACATGAGTTCTTCGGCGGAATTACTTAGTACTTTAAAAGATATTGCTGCTTTACAAACACAAACCAACTTGAGCAAATGTCCAAAGACGCGTCTTACAAGGGGATATATTGAAACAAGTTTTATAACAATAGACGATTATTGGAATTCATTTAAACAGGCAGATCATGAGTTATTAAGGATTACGCCGAAGGAAAAAAGGGGAGTTTTATCTTACTTTCTCAATGAAGAGTTCTACATATATGAAGATTTATACATCGTTTTACAAGCCGATCTACGTGATATGTTAACTTCTGTAAATTCTTCAACAACATCGGCTAATACTTCCGCATCCGAGCATAATATGGAACAAATAAGAAGCGAAAATTCCCTCGTTAAGCTGCCGAGAATTCAGTGATCAACATTTAGTGGCAATTACGAAGAATGGCCGACCTTTGAAGATTTGTTTACCTCACTTATATATAACAACAAGACGATCGAAGACGTACAAAAATTACATTATTTAAAATCAAATGTAGGTGGTGAAACGGCTTCATTAATACGACATATACAAGTTCTTGACAAAAAATATTCGCAGGCTTGGGAAGTGTTAAAAACAAGATACGGTAATAAACGTTTAATTGTCAACTCAGTGCTACGAAGATTGTTTCTTCAAAGGAAAATTAACTCTCAATCAGCAAATCAATTAAAATGTTTATTAGACACAACGACGGAGTGTTTAAATAATTTAAAGAACTTGTCTATTAGTGTTGATTCTTGGGATCCTATTATAATTTTTCTCGTTGTGCAGAAAATGGACCAAGAGTCTCATAAAGATTGGGAAGAATATGCCTATAAAAATGAGTCTGAAGATTTACCGACGTGGAGTGACTTAACGAAATTTCTTTCATCAAGATTTTAAACATTAGAACTTATTTCATCAGGCCCACGAGAGAAGACCATTAAAAAACGATCTTTCCACGTTAGCACCGCTTCATCAGAAAAATCCAGTGAATCGCCAACGTAAGCCCCGCCGCGATCGTCGGAGAAGAAATGTATTATGTGCAAGGATAACCACACGTTATGTCACTGCAAAGAATTTACCAACCTGTAACCTTCATAAAGAGCGGATTATGTGAAAACACACAAATTGTGTTTCAACTGTTTAGTACCGGGACATGCAGCTCATAAATGTCGAATCCGTATGTTCTGTTGTATATGCAATAGACGTAATCATTCTCTTCTACACAAAACTGAAAGGAAAGAAATCAATAGCAAAGAAACATCACACCAATCAGCATCACATTGCAACCTAGAAGAGAGGGAAGGCATTTAAGTCAAGTCAATGATAGCGTCACATCATACCACTAAACAAGGCATTGCATTATTAGCAACCGCTATGGTGAGCGTTCGAAGTGTGCAAAATTACGCCATGATATTAAGGGCGCTCATAGACCAAGAATCGCAGGCTTCATTTATAAGCGAAAAGGCGGCTCAAAGATTAAGGCTCAACAAACAACCTGCAAGAGGAACTGTCATAGGAGTGGGGTCTACTAGAACATATTTAAATCACGTGGTACAGTTTCAAGTTAGTTCCTGCGATGCTAAGATTTCAACTTACCTGTTAAGGCTTATGTAATGTCGAACCAACTTATCACGAAGATACCCGCTACTTGTGCTGTGTAGCTTCCCCTTGGCTGTTCAACCTATTTATGGACAGGTGTTTGCAAACTTTGAAAGATGAAGAATGTGGGTTAAGAATGGGCGAGTTAACCGTCAAATGCCTTTTGTATGCCGATGAACAAGTCATATTTGCGTCATCGGCAGCTAAGTTGCAAATGATGGTTACATTAATGAATTGGGCATTAAAAGAAAGGGGAATGAAAGTGAACGCAAGTAAGACGAAAGTGATGGTTTTTGAAAGAGAAGAAAGCAAAACGGTATGTGAAATAAGAATAGAAGGAGAGTTAATTGAACAAGTGGATGAGTTTGTGTATTTGGGATGTGTATTTAGCAGGGATGGTAGATATGATAAGGATATAGAACGACGAGTAAATGCAGGGAATAGAGTGAATGGGGCACTACACTCTATTATGAAGAACCAGAATGTGTCAAAAAAGGCACGTATGTTAGTCCCTACTTTAATGTATGATAGTGAAAGCTGGGTGTGGCAGAAGAAGCACGAAAGTAGAATAAATGCTGTAGAAATGCGGTCTTTAAGGAGTATACTAGGGTTGAATCTGTTTGCGCGTTACAAACGATCTTGCTACCTAGATTGGAATTATGCCGTGCTTTGCTACTGTCTCGTCTACTCAAGCAAATTGCACAGGCAATGAGAATACCACCATCATAAATATTTGCCTGGACAGAATTATCAATTGTTCTTGCTTGGCTCGCAGGAGATCCTCACAAATGGAAACTGTTTGTAGCGCATCGCGTGGTCGAAATAGTGGAGAATGTACACTGCAATAAATGGCATCATGTAGTTTCAAAAAACAATCCAGCGGACATAGCCTCAAGAGGTATGTATGAGGACCGACATGCTTACTAGAAAAAGAAATTCAATTCTCAAACAACCAAACGAAAGAAACTGATTTAGAAATGAAAAGAACAAAACCATAAGTAAATATTAACATTACAGAAGCAGAAAAAAAAACAAAACAAAAGAAATTAATAGAAGAGTTAGGAAACTTTGAGACACTACAGGAAATGCTTAAGGTAATCACGTATTGTTGAAGACTTTTAAATTACAAGAAAAATTCAAATAAAATTTTAGAAACACTAAATACAGAAGACTTGGACAGATCATTGAAAGCATGCGTTAGACTGGTTCAACGCGAAGAATTTGCGGAAGAGATTCAAAGATTAAAAGAAAATAAGCCTGTAAAAACTAATAGTTACTTGAAGAGTCTGAATCCCTTTTTAGACGAAGTGGATATTCTCAGGGTGGGCGACAATACCGGGTACAAAGAACAACTTAACGCCTTTAATTATCGCCTCACTTCCATACGATGCACGGTGGTGTCCAATTGACATTATGTTATCTTCGTTCTAAATATTGGATCCTGAAAGTGAAAGGATTGGTTAAGAATCATATACATAAATGTTTGACCTGTGCCAAACAAGAAGCTACAGTTAGAACACAGGTGATGAGTGACTTACCTAGGGAAAGAGTGACCAGCTCGAGCATTTCTAAATACTGGAGTAGACCTTTGTGGACCTTTTCACATTTTGAATAATAAAGGCAGAAGAGCCAAAACAAGAAAGGCATATATTGCTCTTTTAATATGCATGTCAACCATGGCCATCCACCTTGAGTTGGTTGGAGACTTGACATCCGAAGCCTTTGGCACCGACCTTTGGAAGATTCGTGGTGAGGAGAGGCAAAAGTGCTCATATGTGGAGCGACCAAGGTCCTAATTTCATCGGTGCTGATAGAGAGCTACAAGCAGCTTGGCGAGAAGCTGATTTGGCCTTTGAAGGGAACATAGCTGAGACCTTGGCGTTAGACGACACGCAGTGGTATTTTATCCCGTCTTACAGCCCAAATTTCGGAGGGCTATGGGAAGCTGGCGTTAGATCCGTTAAGTACCATTTAAAGCGTGTCCTATCTGCAAACTTTACCTTCGAGGAAATGACCACCGTTTTGTACCAAATCGAGGCTTGCCTGAATTCCCGACCGTTGGTTCTAATAGACACAGATGATCCTGAAGTTATTGAGCCATTAACACCTGGGCATTTTTTAAATGGTCAAGCCCCCGATTATAATCCCTTCAGTCGATCTGAAAGACACTCGAATTTCAAACTTAACACGGTGGCAGCACCTTCAAAAACTTCTGGGAGATTTCTGGAGACGTTGGCAGACGGAAAACCTGACAAGACTACAACAGCGCCCAAAGTGGCAGAGACATCAGCGCGAGTTTGAACTGGGAGATATAGTTTTAGTTAAGAGTGAAGGTCTGCCACCTGGTAAATGGTGTCTGGGACGTATCGTGGATAAACATCCGGAAAATGACGGTCACACCAGAGTGTATAGTGTTAAGAGTTGTTGTAATGTTGTAATATTGTGAATTGAACAAAATTATGTACATTTTGACATCAAATCTTAATACTAAACTAAATTTTAAAGCATTCTTGTGAGCATAACAGTTTGTTAATTTTGATTCTGTTTGTTACAATATTTTAATTATGTAGATTGTAGGTTGTTAATTATAATATTGTTTAGCTTATATCACTTAGTTAATTTGAATTATTTAGAAAGAACTAAATGTTCTTTGGTGGGCGGCATGTTCGTTCTCCTACAATATATGTACATACGCAAACTTGTTATTTGTAATCAGTCGCAATTAGAGATTCGAAGAGTAAAGACACTGTGGTTTTCATTACACGTGATACAAACAGAAGTGCACCTTAACTACAGCAACTACTATTACTCAACTTTATTCTAGAAAAACGCAGTATATCGACGAAAATCATCGATATACTGCATCATGATCTGATGATGATCATATTTTGGCTGCGTTCTGAGATTTGTAATTCCCACTTTCAGCACACTGACGATAACATCCTATTCCAATGTCAAAATTGCGATTTTGACAGATACGGAAATGTTATCGTGTTGACCATTACGGAACCCAAATTATCGCCCTATGACTTCAACTCTTAGTAATGGATTTTGTGTAGGAATAAACACAATTTCACTAACATCACGTAGAAAGATAGACTATTAAATCACAAATTGCATTAATAATTGCATCAATTAATGTTATTTTGTTCACACAAAGACAACAATTTTTTTCAAACAGAACGTAAGAATCTGTTGTTTGAAGTTAGTATGAGATTTGACTCATACACTCACAGTGATTTAATTGGGATGGTGGGTCACCGTGAGCGTAGCCATGACTTCATTTTAACTGTCATAGGACTAATTTCATCGCGCTCACACTGATGCAGAACGTTTTTCAGCGCAATTAAATCGATTATGGCGTGTCTCTTGAAAGCCTTACGAGTCACAAGTTACCGCTCTATTGACATAATGAGAGTGTTTATGAAGATAGTGATGTATAGTATATAAATAAGTGCTTTAATCATTTACAGAGCCTGTTTCATATGAGATAACGAATATCCATATATTTATTGCACTTGGCCATTGTCAATCAATTAAAATATGCAATGTTTTTTGGTGTATATTTGATTCCTGTAACGATGGGCCCAAGACTGGGTTTTTCCTTTACTTTGAAAACATAAATAAGTCACAGATATATTTTATCATTAAAATTAAATATTACATTGAATATTTGCTAAAATCGTATACATTTTGTTATTTATTTCTTACCTTTTTTTTTCAAATTATGTTTAGAATGTATGGAATCATCATTATAATCATCATCATTAAAACCTTTTGTTGTTTGTTTCCATTTTAGTCCTCAAGGGCGACAACGCATCTGAATGTTCTTTTTTAAAACGTCACTTTCACATTAGGATTTTCTTCTGTATTGTAGAGGTAGTGTACATATTATATAATTTTACAATAAAAAACATTCAGACCCAGAACAATTATTTGTAGGGCATACAAATACTTGCTACGGGATTCGAACCCGCGGCCCTTAACGCTGCAACCCATTGCTAAGCCGCTGCGCCTCGGAGCTGTCAATTTTGATTCCTAATCGAGGGCAGATGTAGGTGTCTAATACCATTAAGTAGACTGTGTGCTCGTTTATCTTCCTTGTTCTATAATAAAACTTTAACATTATAAAATGTGCAATATAGCCGGCGATACTGTCTTCAACGCTGCCCGCTGCGGAAGGCACGGGTGCGGACGGGTCCCTGCACATAGCGCGGGCTGCGCGTCCTCACGCAGCTCGCTGGCGCTGCGCCGGCCTCGACAGCAAGGGCCGCGCTCGTGCCGGCAGACCCCCGCGACTTCTTATACATGGTAATACTAAAAACACGGTACACTTAAGACCAGCTCTTAGCACGATTTCAAATTCGTTTTTCACCCGCGCGTCCCGCAGTGGGCGGAGCGCAACCGGCTGTCGGTGAGCGCCGCGTGAACACAGTATGCGCAAAGCAAGCAGACAATTCACCTCCAAACAAAAACTTTTCCGTGAGGTTTACTGTTCTCAACACCACTAGGTATTATAGTAATCATATTTTGAGAACCTACTCACTAATATCAAAACTGTTTACAATATAGTTAGTCTGGACATCATACTACATTTTAATTATCAATATTTTTTTAAAGTCAGTTTTATGATATGAGCAGGTAGGTACTTAGTCAACTATTTACATACATAAACATTTAAAACGCCACCTCACAAATTCTAAAAAAAAAGTTTCGTTTGCAAAATAGCTAAAATAAGAGAAAAAGAATAGTTTCAAATAAAACCATTAGAAAATTCAAATTTATTTTACTGTTTTCTATTACCTTACCTCCGGACTTGATGGAGTGACCTGAAGGTGTACTTTGGTAATCGGTATTGGAACAGGTCGCCGAGTACTACTAGGTGTGCCGAGTTTGGTCTCGTTTTATTAGGTATGACGAGCCTTTACCTCCGGACTTGATGGAGTGACCTGAAGGTGTACTTTGGCAATCGGCATTGGAACAGGTCGCTAAGTACTACTAGGTGTGCCGAGGTTGGGCTCGTTTTGTTAGGTATGACGAGCCCTTACCTCCGGACTTGATGGAGTGACCTGAAGGTGTACTTTGGTAATCGGCATTGGAACAGGTTGCTAAGTACTACTAGGTGTGCCGAGTTTGGTCTCGTTATGTTAGGTATGACGAGCCTTTACCTCCGGACTTGATGGAGTGACCTGAAGGTGTACTTTGGCAATCGGCATTGGAACAGGTCGCTAAGTACTACTAGGTGTGCCGAGGTTGGGCTCGTTTTGTTAGGTATGATGAGTCCTTACCTCCGGACTTGATGGAGTGATCTGAAGGTGTACTTTGGTAATCGCTATTGGAACTGGTCGCTAAGTACTACTAGTTGTGTCGAGTTTGATCTCGTGTTGTTAGGTATGACGAGCCCTTACCTCCGGACTTGATGGAGTGACCTGAAGGTGTACTCTATTAATCGGCATTGGAACAGGTCGCCGAGTACTACTAGGTGTGCCAAGTTTGGGCTCGTTTTGTTAGGTATGACGAGCCCTTACCTCCGGACTTGACGGAGTGACCTGAAGGTGTATTTTGGTAATCGGCATTGGAACAGGTCGCCGAGTACCACTAGGTGGGCCGAGTTTGGGCTTGTTTTGTTAGGTATGACGAGCCCTTACCTCCGGACTTGACGGAATGACCTGAAGGTGTATGGGTATGTTAGGCACACCTAGCAGTACTCGGCGACCTGTTCCAATGCCGATTACCAAAGTACACCTAAAGGTCACTCCGTCAATTCCGGAGGTAAGAGCTCGTCATACTTAACAAAACGAGCCCAACCTCGACACACCTAATAGTACTCGGCGACCTGTTCCAATGCCGATTACCAAAGTACACCTTCAGGTCACTCCGTCAAGTCCGGAGGTAAGAGCTCGTCATACTTAACAAAACGAGCCCAAACTCGGCCCACCTAGTAGTACTCGGCGACCTGTTTCAATACCGATTACCAAAGTACACCTTCAGGTCACTCCATCAAGTCCGGAGGTAAGGGCTCGTCATACCTAACAAAACGAGCCCAAACTCGGCCCACCTAGTAGTACTCGGCGACCAGTTCCAATAGCGATTACCAAAGTACACCTTCAGGTCACTCCGTCAAGTCCGGAGGTAAGGACTCGTCATACCTAACAAAACGAGCCCAAACTCGGCCCACCTAGTAGTACTCGGCGACCTGTTCCAATGCCGATTACCAAAGTACACCTTCAGGTCACTCCATCAAGTCCGGAGGTAAGGGCTCGTCATACCTAACAAAACGAGCCCAACCTCGACACACCTAATAATACTCGGCGACCTGTTCCAATGCCGATTACCAAAGTACACCTAAAGGTCACTCCGTCAAGTTCGGAGGTAAGAGCTCGTCATACTTAACAAAACGAGCCCAACCTCGACACACCTAATAGTACTCGGCGACCTGTTCCAATGCCGATTACCAAAGTACACCTTCAGGTCACTCCATCAAGTCCGGAGGTAAGGGCTCGTCATACCTAATAAAACGAGCCCAAACTCGGCACACCTAGTAGTACTCGGCGACCTGTTCCAATGCCGATTACCAAAGTACACCTTCAGGTCACTCCGTCAAGTCCGGAGGTAAGAGCTCGTCATACTTAACAAAACGAGCCCAAACTCGGCCCACCTAGTAGTACTCGGCGACCTGTTTCAATACCGATTACCAAAGTACACCTTCAGGTCACTCCATCAAGTCCGGAGGTAAGGGCTCGTCATACCTAACAAAACGAGCCCAAACTCGGCCCACCTAGTAGTACTCGGCGACCAGTTCCAATAGCGATTACCAAAGTACACCTTCAGGTCACTCCGTCAAGTCCGGAGGTAAGGACTCGTCATACCTAACAAAACGAGCCCAAACTCGGCCCACCTAGTAGTACTCGGCGACCTGTTCCAATGCCGATTACCAAAGTACACCTTCATGACACTCCATCAAGTCCGGAGGTAAGGGCTCGTCATACCTAACAAAACGAGCCCAAATTCGGCACACCTAGTAATACCTACTTGGCGACCTGCTCCAATACCGATTACTAAAGTACACCTTCAGGTCACTCCTTCAAGTCCGGAGGTAAGGGCTCGTCATACCTAATAAAACGATCCCAAAGTCGGCACACCTAGTTCTACTAGTCCAGGTGTTCCAGTATTAGTTACTGAAGTTCACTTTCAGGTCACTCCACCAAGTCCGGAGGTAAGGTCTTATCATAACTGACAAAATCAGCCCAAAGTCCACAGCTAACTTCTCAGTGCCAGCAGAGGGCTCCCAGTGCAAAGCAGTCTCTAGAGTAGGTATTCGTATTTCGTAACTAAGTCTAATTACTCTATGTATCTAAGTATATTTTTGTGGTGTAAGAAATCAAAAACAAATTTGATCTTTCAAATTATTAAAATAATTTTATTTGACTACGATTCCCGCAACCAACCGTGCGTACACTTGTGCGTGACTCATGTCAATGTAATAGTTCGATTCTATACCTATATCAATTTTGTAAACGCGTCCTTAAAAAATCTTAACGTAAATACTGCGGCAAAAAGAGCGACACGTCTCCACAGCACCAGGCCTCGGCCGGCAGTGACTGCACAGGCGTTTACGCAAACATCTGTACGTATTATTTCAGAAATAAGAATATGTGATTTAAAAAAAAATATTAGTTGGACTAAAAATTGAAACACTATAACGATAATATGTTGAATGTATAAAAATGTGACAAAAAATCAGAATGATTGAATGTATACTAGTATGGTTTTTACTAGTTAAAAGAAATTTTTGGAGGTATGTTTGTGATTTTTTTTCTATCGTATTAAATTAGTGGTATCATGTTTTCAACACACTATCTAACTAGGATATATCCTGGACAATATCATACATTTTTCTGGGTTTGTTTACTGCAGTGGATTATTTACTTTGAGGCATTATAAAACTTGCGTTTAGGGTCATGCCTCGTCTTAATCACAGGCTCAATTCTTAGTCCTCGGTGGTGTTAATGCATCTGTCGCCTTCTTTGTTTAAAGTTGGTTCATCATCAACATTATTTAACTCTTCATAAATCCATTCCTGAACATAGGCCTCCCACAAGGAACGCCACAAAGCACGGTCTTTCAGACGCACCTTCTGCATATTGCACCAGGTGAGTTAGTTTGTTGGTTGGATGCAGTAGCCACTTACCACCTGGACACTTCCAAAAAAAAAATACATCTAAGCCACTCACAATGAAATTAAGCAAACGCTTCGTAATCACCTACCGCAGTCTTAAGCATAAAATGTTTATGTAAATGTTACCTTTGTATGAGTAAAGCGGGCTACATACGACACGATATCGGTGGCGATCTAGGGTGGAGTAGTGGGGATGCCTCCTAGATTGCCTCTAAATCGTGTCGTATGTAGGGCCATCCTAAGTCGTGGCCGATATCGCCTCCTTAATCGGCTGGCAGGAGCAAAAATGCTTCCTAAGTCAGCCGATGCTTCCTAGATCGGGGCACCGCCCCCTCCTTACTGCGTGTGTGTAGGCGCATCGGCCCGATTTCTTTTGGCAGTCGCTGCCGGCAACCCTCGCGGAAGGAAGTTAACAAAACAGTGATACTGAATGACCTTTTTTTATATAACAAAATTTTTACATTTTAATCATATAAACGGAGTAGAAGCCTATGGCACTGATATTTTGCAAAAAACAAAAAAAAAGTGAATAAAATAAATAAATTAATTGAAATTTTATCGAAATTCAAATCATATCCACCCTAGCCTGTGACCCTGCGAAGTGACATGGTCAAGAATGCCTACTAAACTAATTTTTTTATTGCCGTTCGTAAAGTAGAGTGTATGATGTAAGTAAGGAGAAGATAAAGCCTCTCCTCAACAACTAACTCCTATTCCAACGCTATCAACACAAGACCGCACTCATATCTCTTACAACTCCACAAGACCACACTTCGATCTCTTACGTGCCTTCATCCTCTTATCAACAACTAACTTCTACTCCTTCACCATCTCCACATCAACAAACAAGTTATATAAAAGGGAGTATGTCCGAAATTAAAGGTTTCTTTATGTTTAAGAAAAGATATAAGCTATTTTATTTTCTGATAGTTTTACTCCATAAATAAAGATTACATTAAAAAAAAAGTATACATATTATTATACAAAAGTATTTTATTTCCTTGTTTGTTGTGTGTAATACATAACCAGATTTTGACCAAAGCAGAAATGAACAAAGAGAAGAAATAACTAAATAGCATAGGTAGGAGAAATTGACGTTTTTATATAAGTGGCGAAATCATTTCTAGAAGGTTATAAAAACTGTCTTCATCCATCCGGAGAAAATTAATCACGTCCTTGGATTACAGGCCATTTAGTACGTTTATGTGGCTTAATTTTTATCTCTTTTGGAGCCATTTTTTCACCCAGCAACTTCTCTTTTTCTATTTTCGAATAAATTAACCGAGATGGCTAATGCCAAACCAACACGGTGGTGTTTTAAGAGAGTCGGAGTTATTTTGAAGAACTCTACCGCATATGCATTCCGCTCCAAGTCCGAACGCGTACTGCTAGGCAGGCCCGTGTGTAAGGTCTACCCCGATAAAAGCCCCGATTTCTTTCCACCCTAGATCGCTACCGATATCGTGTCGTATGTAGCCCGCTTAAGGAAATTAAAAATGCTCAATGAAATAATAATAATAATTTTTACACTTTTTTGTGTGTACATCTGTTACGCGGTATCATCGCTAATTGCAAACCGATGTTAATGGTAAATTTTTGTAATAAATATGATTTTATCAGAGGTGGTATTCGATATATCCATATGGAAAAAATATTTCATCTCTTAATGTGGAAAAATAGGTAATGAATTTTTTTTTATGTAACTTGATCTTGTTATATTCTTTATTCGAAACAAAAAATGAAGAAATCCAATTTCTTATAAAAATAACAGCCGACTACAAAAATCAAAAAATAATTTCCACTCAGTAGCTTCTGAATAAACTTATGGCTTTATTTCTATGAAAAAAAAATTATAGAATATGCGTGACAAACGAGCACACAGTCCACCTGATGATAAGTGGATGCTGTGGCCCATAGGCATCTACATCTATCTATCCTCGATTATGAATCAAAACGCAGATACGTTGTCACCCCTGAGGACTAAGATGGAATGACTCATTTCCAGTAAAAAGGTCTCCGGATCTCGACACTCACCATACAAAACGTAGCAGTAGGTATTATGCTGCTATTTTACGCTGGTATTCTGTGAGAGCGTGGTCCTTCCCCGGTCGAGCTGACCCATTCGTGCTACAACCATAATAATATAGCTGCAGCGTGACTATACCACGTGTAGATATTAATTTTCCCATTATTGGTGTGTAAATATAATAACATGTAGAGGCTTGTCTATTCCTGTAGTAACGAATTTTGGGAGAAATAATAAGATCTGTGAACTTATTTCTCTTTATAATCTGCTCTTTTTACTATTTACCGCAAGATTTAAAGCTATATGTCCACACATGGCACCGTGTTGTGGCGGTATAAGGATATCCATGACGCATGTCACCCCGTGGGTGTCGTTACAACTGACAGAGGGAAACAAATCAGTAGATAAGCAGCGTCGTTCTAATAACCCGCTTGCCAACTATGGCAACTGTGGCAACTATGGCAACTATCTCGTATATGAGGCAATCAATAAGGGAGGCCTATGTTAGCAGTGTACTTTAAAAGGCTGTAACGGTAACGGCTCAAACATGTTATTTGAAAACTATTGTGTTCTCTAATCTACTTCATGCTACTTGGAGTAAAGGGAAATACTAGTAATATTTATAAAACTGCTAATATTTTTAAATGAAAATATATTTATATTCGAATCCTTATTAATGCATTCTTTCTTAAACAATGAACCAAACAGAACCGGTGCGGTCGGTGTACTTGGCTGTGGACGGCAGACGGCTAGACGCTGGTAACACGTGGGTTCCCGTTCGAGATAAGACAGTGCTGGAAGTGCGCTGCGTTGCCGAGGGTATGAACGAGTTGGTTACCTACTGTAGAATTTTACGATATTTTATAGTCATGACGCCTTCAAGTAATATATAATACTATATTTAAATATTTTTGTACTACTATACTTCTTACAAATTTTAGCTTTTATAAATACTAGATAGAGATGATACAGGTCAACCACCTTTGGAACATTTTTAAAAATTTAAAGGACCTATATAAAGAGAAGATAAAAAAAAAAATAACCACATTTTTTTATAAATATTTATTTAATTCGATTATCTACATACTTTTAAAAGCTTAAGTATCCTACTACTTAAATATCAATCCAATGTCAATTTATAAAACCCACGATTGAAAGAAATTCGTAACATGTCGTGAAAACACAGGCATACCTAGTGATAGGATTTGCGTCTTATTACATCTTAGTTTATAGTTTAGTATGTGTGCGAGACCATAGGTAATTATCATACAAGTTTATTAGATCGCTAAGATTATTTTACTCCAATTTTAGTATGTTAATCAAATATTTTAATCAGTAGGTACCAATTTTAACTGTGTAAATAAACACATTTTATTTTCATTCAGATAATTATTTCGTATAGCGATGGTATAGTGATATGATAAAAAGTAAAATTGCTGTCTATATATGAGTACGTCCTGTGTCCATCTGAAAAGGCTTTTACCCGGCTCTGGTATAGGCCTTTTCTCATTTCTGAGAAGGGTATTTTATTTTATTCTTTTAATGATCATAAAGCAGGTTTACACCTGTCACAAAAGCTCACCACGCCACGGGTTGACTGGTAGAGAACGCCGACGGACAATAAGTCCGCCCATTGTAGTAAAACTAAGATAACGTTGAGGGGACTAAAATGGAGATTAAAAAAATGTTATCGGATTAGTCTGTCACCCTCCTAGAGTCCGTGATCCCCGACTACACACACCTACTTCTAGAGTCCGTGTTCCCCGACTACACACACCTACTTCTAGAGTCCGTGTTCCCCGACTACACACACCTAATTCTAGAGTCCGTGATCCCCGACTACACACACCTACTTCTAGAGTCCGTGTTCCCCGACTACACACACCTACTTCTAGAGTCCGTGTTCCCCGACTACACACACCTACTTCTAGAGTCCGTGTTCCCCGACTACACACACCTACTTCTAGAGTTCCCGTGTTCCCCGACTACACACACCTACTTCAGAGTCCGTGTTCCCCGACTACACACACCTACTTCTAGAGTCCGTGTTCCCCGACTACACACACCTACTTCTAGAGTCCGTGTTCCCCAACTACACACACCTACTTCTAGAGTCCGTGTTCCCCGACTACACACACCTACTTCTAGAGTCCGTGTTCCCCGACTACTACTTCTTTAAATATATTCCCCAAAAAACTAGGTTTTCTCACGATGTTTTTCTTTACCGACTAGTACTTGGTACATCAAAACTTAAAATTGCAACAAACAATTTCATTGTTGAAAGCGGGAATTAAACCCAATTTGTTTGAGTTTTTTTTAATTTAGGAGCAGCGGTTAACTAGCAATAATCTCGTAAATGTAAAAAAATGCTAAATTGTTTATTTTCCCGTAGGTGGTGTCCCTCCTCCAGATCTCTCTTGGCGACTTCTTGCTCTGGAGCCGGCATTGGATCATCGACCTTATCTACGAGTTTACCAGACTAATAGCTCTATAGGTTTGTACTAGTGAGGTCGTAATAAAGTTTTGGTTCCACATGCGTGCGAAGTTGAGAATGTTACATTGAATTTTCTTCTATCCGTGACGACAACTATAAATAACACTGGTATATTCGTTGACATCAAAGAACCTATTCGTTTCTAAAACTCCCACAGCGACCAAATACTTTTATCTTGACTACGTTGTTCAGAGGGTGTGCACTGGTCCCGAGCGGTGGTAACGGTGGCACGTGAGCTACACAACGCGACGCTACGCTGCGCCGCCACTCATCGCCGCGCACCCCCCGCCGCACCCCCCGCTGCACCCACCACCGTACCCACCGAGGCGTCGCACGAAGCGCCCTCCACTGCCCCGCACGCCGAGTACGACGAACTGACTGCTAAGCTAGAGATACACGTCACTTGTGAGTATAAAGTATTGGGTAAGGCAACGTTTGTTTGCAATTCTTATTTGTTTTTTAGCTACTACGTATACTTACATTGCTTATAATGGAGTGTTTAATAAGAGAAAATATTTAACTAAATAAGATAGTGAAAAGTATCTGGGGGCACGGCATTGCCCCCGCCAAGTCGAGAAAAACGGCACGGCCGTACCATACTTTTCTCGAAGCAATTCAGGCCACATTCGAACCCATATAACTTCGTAGTGGATAAAATTATAAGCCTGAATTTTCGTTTACCGAGTATACATTATATAAACATGGTATATTTCAAATTTAATTCGATTTGAACCAGTATTTTAAGAAGTATAACTAGTCAAAGTTTCTTAATTTTGTCATTTACTGACTGGTCAAGTCAATCTACTCATTTGAAACATAAACTATTTTTAACATTGATATGGTCACTATAAAATGTTGTTAGGTAAGGTAATTACATAATAACTAAATCAGAAGGACCCTTAAGTAGGGACTGAATAAATTAACTGACTTGGTATTACATGGATCTCACATCTCTTTACGGTAGAAGAACTAAGTTGCGAGACTTGGTTTTTTTACATGTTATGTTTTTGATGGCATAGTGATTTCCTAAATCGGACTACTAAAAATTAATATTCAAAAACCGAAGGTAGCCGGGCTTACTACTACATTGGGATGTCAAACGTTTCAGTCCCTCCGTGACCATGAGTGCTGTAATGCACCCGAAATATCGAGAATTAAAAAATAAGTTTTAAATTAATTAATTAGACGCGATAAAATCCGTGTAAATTTCAGTAGCTTTATTCAAAGAAAAGTATAGTTATGATCACATAATACTATTATACTATGCGTTATGCAATAGGACATCTAAGTGAAATGACATCTTAGGCACAGCCCATTAGTTCCACATTTTTAGCTTATAATGTAGTCTCACTTGCTGGGCAGAGTTCCTCTGTTCTTATAATAGGCCTCTGTCACTCTTGTTTCCTGAGTGAAGTAATTACCTAAAATCGCGAGTCACCGGCGGTGTAATACGCAGTCTGGGCTAGCCCGTTGTAGGCGATTGATGAATGTTAACGCTAATTACGTAAAAAGTTTTTTGTAAACACTTGTTGTAATATTTGTTTAGTGTTTAGTATATTAAATTGTAGGATAAAATAGTTCAGTAAAATTTAATGTGATTTAAAAATAATATATGTGTATATTACCTATCTATTGGATAAATTATAATGGCAAAACTTCGAACCTACTATAGTTGTTGCGTGGATGGATACTTAATGAGCAAACAAAAGAATTCAGATATATAATTTTTTATGTTACCTAAGGATATGAGTCATTTGTTCAATTTTTTTGTTAAATAAATACTTATAGCAAAAAAAGAATTAAGTAATTATTTAAACACAGATGTAATACCTAAGTACTTTATTTCAAAACTTAAACTTGTTTGAAATTTACTTCACTATCTAAGTAGGTAACTTACATGCATTTAGTAATTAAAATATATTAAGTTATAATAACACAAAGCACTGAAATTAAAACTATGTTTACAAGATTTTTAACTAATTAGAATACAACATTTCATTTAGAAATCGTATTTCGGATTTATTTGTTGTTTACACTACCGACCTATTTCTTACGAACGATTTATTAAATCGCGATTAGCGACGAGATACCTTGCAAGTTGCATGCGTTAGGCACATAATTCGCATAGTAGCAAAAATATGTTCATTCGATCGGTCAGAATAAGTACCATACCTATTTTACTTACCATTTCGCAACGTATTAATTAATTCTTTAATTTATACTCTCTATTGCACACAACAATTGCACACCAAACTTAATTTATAAATTTAAGTACAATTAGGTGGCCTCATCGCTAAACAGTAATCTCTTCCAGGCAAACCTTGGTAACGTAGTGCTACATAATGTTATATATTCTATGCCTTGGTTAAGGAGATCCGTAAACGGAAGTGTGCATAAATAGTAGATAAACCTCGTACATGTTATAAGCTAAATAAGTACCTACTTACATGTGTTTTTAATATGGTGCAATATCACTATATTATCTTTCTGTGCGGATATTATTGCCTGTTTCTATATTCCACTTAATTAAACGAGGAATCAAATCACCATTGAAGATTAGCGTGAAATTGGAGAGGTTAGTGATTCTTATTATATATATATATCTATATTATATATATTGTATACAAATTGTTCTTTAATATTGAGTTTCTTGAAATTTATGGTAGTTACTGCAATTGCGCCTGATGAATGGTGATGAAGCAGTCATAGATGAAAGCGGGCTAACATTGCAGTTTTTATGATTGAACCGTATACTTAAATAAAAATAAACACAAATAGTTTTGAAGAAATTTCAAACTTGTCTGAAACTTCAAATTGTCGCTGTCAGAAATCGAACCCTGGAGCTCCCGGATTCCACCACAGCGCTTGAATGCGCCAAATCCTTTTCAATTTGACGGCAGAATTTAATATATAGAATTTAATATAAACCATTCTAGTATTATGTAAGCAGGCTTGGGCTTTAAATTTTTTTCTTACTTTTGCTGACAAAAGGAGCGGGCGAATACATACCTATTAAAAATCTTAGGTAAATTAAAGTAATTTACTGGAATTATTAACAAATATCATTTCCATCACTCCATGTCCACGTTTTCCTTTTTATAATTTACTAAAATTATATATAAGATTTAATGTTCTTTCAACTCTTAAATTTAATAATCGGTATTTTAGAGACGGAAAAAATACTTAAAGTAAAACAATTGTAAATTAAATAAATTATTAATGTTATACATACTGTATTTTTTACTCTTTCTTCAGCCCTAATTAACCACGGAAAAACTGCGTGATGTAGGAATGGGAAAAGATGCAAAGTAATACGAACACTCGCACGCAGCGACAAAAGTTCATTTAGCTTGCGTATGTAATTTATCTATTAAGAGGATACCTTGAAAATGAATCGAATTTTTGGGGCGGGGCTTATTCCTTTGTCGGTGAAGCTAACGGACGACTGCGAGATTGTCAAAATGAAAGTGATGCAATGACTTCATAGTACGCAAATTATGAGATAGCCATACCGAGCAAGCGCTCGGAAAAAACTAAGTAAGCGCCAAACAAAAATTTTATTTATTTTAACAAAACTTCGTTATGGATTAAAAAAAAACTGGTTTATGAAAACTTAGATATGATTATTTACTATGCCTTAAAAATAATTCCATGAAATTATTTGTAAGAATATTGTGGTGTCTTCGAGAAATGTAAATAATTAGAGCCCACTTTGCAATTTTTTTCTATCGGGAAAAATTACATGATATCGTGTTTTTTTATGCGATCCAAGGTCATATAGTCAAAAATTATATACAAAAATTTTGGTTTGCGTTACGGCCCTGAGTTACGACGACAAAGGTCGATTGAGCCCAATAGGGACCATCAGTAACCCAATTCGACGAGTAACCGAGGGTCGGGCCACGAATGGCCTATGGATAATTAATTTATAATGGCTAAATACGCAAACACAAAATTTACCGAATTACAGAAGTAGGTCGACCACAAGGCGTCGTCAGGGGCGAGTAAATGATATGTGTGAGTGGTGTGTGAGAAGTGTGTAATGTAACCTGACGTCACCGATATAATCAGATAGCAGAACCGCATGCGCTACCCAGCTTCTCTTGTGCAATCACTCCAGAGGGCGTTAGCCGCTATCGGAACTAAAGTTCAACGTCACTTAGCACAAATACAATCGGAGGGAACGCGATCTACACCCAGATCACAAAGTTTAGCGTCGCACATGACAAAGCAAAATTCCTTCTTACAATATTAACTACACGAGCCACTCGTCGATGTAAATTAATAGCAATCTCAGTTAATTCAATATTTCAAAACTCAAAAAAGCCTCGTTGTCACGTATATTAACGACAAAATACAACACCATGGAGGCCGTCTTTATTTGACGCCGTAATCGCTATCAAAACCTCTAAGCGACCCGGGCGCCGCGCAAATCGATTTTTCTAGTCTAATCTCGCGACCCCCACCAGCGCGGCTTCAGCGCTCAAAAGATTCCTGCCAACTGCCAGGCGCAGTCGCCGGCGCAAATGAATACTCCCTCCGCGCAACCCGCTAACCGGTTTCTCAACCGGGACGCGTCTTGCAAGCTTCAAATGCCACAGCGTTGGCGTAAACAGTTTGTAATCTATAAAACTTAAAAAATATGTTAAATAGAAAAAACCACCAAAATTTTCGAGTTAACTCTTTAATAATAATTATGTAGACTTTTAAACGTCGACAAGCAGTCAACATCAAAAGAAAAAATTTATAACCTTTATTTTGATATAAAACAACCAACTAGAGTCAAATCGCGTCTTGATCTTATTATTAGTAACATTGACGACACAATTGGATCTGTGCGTTCACTATGGTTGTCAGATCATGATACTGCACAGGTACTAAACTTTACTGAAAAAAATAACAAGAAAATCACACCAAAATTAATATATTCATTCATTCGACATTATTCCGTAGAAAATATAGACAGATTTAAAAAAATATTTAAAATGCGTTTCATTTTGTGAAGTTTATGCTCAGTCTGATTTAAATAAAGCGTTTGACGAATTCTTTAGCCTTCCCACATTACTCTATAAACTATGGTTTCCTAAAATAAGAGTAAAAACCAAAACATTTACCAAACTAACATGGATATCCAAAGGCTTAAAAAAAGTTGTAGAACTAAACGTAAACTTCGGTACAAGTTCCATATGACGAGAAAAAATGTTGATCGAACTAAATATATAAAATACGATGAACTGTTAAAAAAATGTATAAACATTGCAAAAAGCACAACAAACAATAAATTTGTAGTAAATAGTGAAAATATATGTAGAGCTACTTGGGAAATTATTAAAATTGAGACTAATTGTGTACATACAAAAAACTACATAAATAATATTATATATAATGGAAAGACGGTAACGGAACCTGCTGAAATAGTATCTATTATAAATAACTATTTCATTAACGAAACAAATCAGATAAATTATAAAATAGAAAATACAACTAACATGAAAGTACCTCAATCTATTTTTCTAACTCCTATACATGAAAATATTATCAAAAAAATAATAACGTCTTTAAATAACACAGAATCTGAGGGTTATGATTCCATATGTACTAAAATAATTAAATATTGTAAGAATGAAATAAGTGAAATATTAGCATTCCTGATTAATCTCTCACTAGAGTCAGGCGTTTTTCCTGAAAAATTAAAACTTACTATAGTAAAACCGTTACACAAGAAAGAAGATAAAAGTGATAAAACCAACTATCGACCAATTGCACAAGTCGCAGTCCTCTCAAAAATATTCGAAAAGGTTATGCATTACCAACTTACTTCCTTTTTTAGTAAATTTAATGTAATAAAACAAAATCAACATGGTTTCCAAAAAAAAATAAATCCACAGCACATGCTGCATTCACATTAGTAAAGGAAGTATTGCAAAATGTAAATGAAAGAAACTATACAACAGTACTATTTATTCACATGTATAAAGCCTTCGATCGCATCTCACATGATCAACTACTGACCAAACTAGATGCTAATGGAAAAAGGGGACCTGCTCTAAGTTGGATAGAAAGCTATTTAAAAAATAGGTATCAGTGTGTAGAAATAACACAGTTAAATTCTGAAAACATAGCTCAGGTGTATAGATCCAAATTCAAAACTAATAATGTTGGTGTTCCCCAAGGTAGTGTACTCGGACCATTGTTGTTTATTTTATACATAAATGATTTACCTGACATCTCAAACTATAAAACTACTTTATTTGCAGATGATATATCGATGACGATAACGACTAGTAAAAAAAAAACACTAGATCAACATAAAACGGACATTATAAATACATTTAATTCAGTAAATAAATGGTTTAATAAAAATAAATATCATTAATTTTAATAACTTAAGCTCTGACATTAATATTGAATATAATGGACAACTTCTGCAGAACGCTACTAGTACGTCATTTTTAGGTTTAATTATAGACTCGAACCTGAATTGGAAAGAACACATACATAAAGTGTGTAACAAAATTAACAGATTTGTGTACGCGTTACATAAATTGACAAAAATAGCAAACAAAAATACAGCGGTCACAGCGTATTTCGCATATGTAGAATCTGTTATCAGATACGGACTTTTAATGTGGGGTAATGGCACAGACTCTCAAAAAGTATTTTTAGCACGAAAACGCTGTATTAGAGCTATTAGTAATATCCCATCAGACACATCATGCAAGCCTTACTTTAAGAGTTTAAACATACTTCCTTTTCCCTGCCTCTATATATTTTATAGGTAGGCAAATTTGTAATGCAAAACAAGCATTTATTCTTACAAACTAAAGATGCAACAAAAATAAATTTACGGAACCCACATAAATTAGCACTTGACACAATTCCAAAAAGTAAGCGCTTTCAAAAAAATAGCTAGGCAATGTGTAACACGATATATAACAAAATACCCGCACATATTAAGCAATTCCTTATAATAAGTTTAAAATGTCACTTCGACGATGGCTAGAAGATAAAGCATTTTATACAGTAAATGAGTTTTTGAATTGTATTGACTAAGTAGTTTTATCGTTAATTAAAAATCGATGCATTAATTAATTAATTAATTTATATATATATATATATATATATATATATATATATATATATATATATTTATATATATATATAATTATGAATTTATTTATTTATAAAGATTGTAAAATGACGTTTTATTTTGTTTATATAGATGAAATTTAGTAATTGATTTCATTATAAAAACTTTTGAATATTTGCATGCTTTTGAAAACAGCTAAATAGGTTTTCTTTTTTTGTACTAGCACAATAACAGTATAACATCAATAAGAAAACATTTTGTACCTATTTAATTGCAAATAAAGAATTTGCATTTCTTTTTGCAAAATCTTGTAAACTTGGACTGTGGACTTGTAAATGGCGGATTACCGTCAAATGAAAAATTACTAAGACATCAGGAAACAGCATCTGGTACTGCGATTATCAATAAACCTGCCGAGCATGATGATTCAAGCAAATCCTGTTTGCAATCGATGAGGGCTGTGTCTAGTAGTTAACTTTTAAAGGCTACTGAAGCAGAAGAAAAAGGTATGACAAAATATTAAGAAAAATACTGCAAAAAACTTTTTCTTCTTTACGTAATTATGTAAATAACTATATACATTGCTTGGAGTAATTATAGTCAAATATATTTCTTTTGTTTCGTCTACAACTAATTTTCATCACCTCCTAGATCAATGAAACGCGAATAAATAAATTAATGTTTATCGTAAAATAATAGGACAAGCATTAGTATACATGAGAATCCTACAACCGACCGTAAATTAGTAAGGGATATAAAGCAATAATAAATCTTACGAAAAACATAAATGTGGAAAAAAACTTGGTCCAAGTCCGTTATAAACGACATTCGGTATTGTCGGCTTTGCCAATAAAAGCGTTGAGATTTGAAGGGATGCCAAGCTTCGTAGCAGGTCCGGAAACGTATCACATTATAGAGTAACTGTATGGTAAAATACACGCGATCTTCTTAGGCCACGCACGTTAAACTCTCTTTCAACATAGCCAAAACCACCAAGGAAAAGAACCAGACCTAACTTAACTTTCTGTACTTCTAATTTTACAATAAATATGCTTATTACTACAACTTAACCAATTCAGTGTACGGAATCGCAAAGAAAGTAAATCTTAATGTTCCTTCGAGCGGAATATGAGATATTACGAATGTGACATCCATCTATCTGTCTGTAACAGTCTGTAAAGTTTCACTGCTGACAATAGTTGCACGTGTGGCGTATGTCTATAAATTCGAGGTATTATAGTGTGTCTATGGTTGTAGATCCACCGTCGTTCGTGATCTCGCGCTGGCCAGGATTCGGCATCTCGTTGCGTGCAGGCGGCGCGGCGGCGCTTCGCTGTGATGTAGACGCCAATCCGCCCGCGCGCGCCTACTGGCTGCGAGACGAAGACCGCCCGCCCAGGTACAATACAATACAATACAATACCCTTTATTGGAGACTAAGAAAACAATATAAAAATAAACAAACAAAGTGAAAAACAAAGGGTGGTCTTATTGCTATGCAGCAATTTCTTCCAGACAACCTATATAGAAAATAAAAATAAGTGAAACCAACCTAAGCTTCTACATTTTTTTTTATAGAATGGGGTGAAAAACGAGCACACCACCTGATAGTAACTAAAATATAGCTGCAGCATGGCTCTACTATGTAAATATATAAATAAATAAAATGTGTATTCTCAATAATAGTTTTCGTTATATAGTGGTGGAACAACAAAATAACCATAGACAGATAACAGTTTACGTTCGCCAAAAGTGTATAATTATGAACAAAAATAGGAGAAGAAAAGAAATATGGTACAACAGGCTGTCCTATATCTGAAAGCGATCTCTTCCAGACAATCTTTGGTGCACAGCGTAACAATAAAATATGTCAAAACAGAGAAAACAATAATGTTCTCCAGACCGAACGGAATTTCGATCACGGCGACCAGTCTCAACGAAGACTAGCAATCTTCACAGGGCAGGATTATGGTGACCGAGTATATGTAGTATATGTATAGTATATTCAATTAGTCAACACCGTGTGGACACAATTAAATTAAATTGTTACAAGGCAATGTAAAGTTTGCCCACATTAGGGTAGCGCGAAGAATTATTCTTAAAAAATGTGCAGTCACAGATGCAGTCTCAGTCTCCTGTGCAGACACAGATGCAGTCTTTATTTTCCGACTCTCATTATCCGATGACACGGTTACTCGACACGACCGGAGAGAGATCAAGCGCAGAACCCACGGCTTTACGTGTTTTTCGAGACACGGAAGTGTAACACCGCCAACTTCCATACTCTGAACTCCAAGAATCCAGCGGAACATTAAAAAAAAGGTTAATTCCAAACCGTTTTAAGTCAGTTTACGACAACCGCTACATGTGCGCACATGTATTATAAATAAAATGGTTGAAATAAATATTTTTACAAGAATCATTAAATTTTATTGCTATAAATTATAAGAACAAGACAGTTTAAAATGCACACGCATACAAGTGTATGTTCAAATATATTTTAATAAAATAATTATAAATCAAAAACATTTTTGCAAAATATCTTTCTTTTATAAATGGTCTATTCAGTGACAAGTAAACCGGGACAAATAATAACGACGCCTCAGAGTTACGGATTCGAGTGTCAATTAGGAGACTCTTGACTAAGGAGGAACACTTGCAATAAGAACCCCTGAGAGGAGAGCTGACCCACGCCACTTGCTGTTAATTATAGCGAGTGGATTTAAATTCCTTTTATCAGTAACAGAGAAAACAACCAGGTTTGAAAAAAATAGTATAGGATTGTATAATAATATGCTATTATACAATCCTATACTATTTTTTTCATTTTTATTGTTTAGATATATATATAATATATATATATATATATATATATATATATATATATATATATATATATTTCCGTTGTCAGATAGAGCTAAATCTATCTATATAAGATACAAAAATATTTCTACCTATGCCCGTTATAGATTTTGAAACCATCCAACCGATTTTGATAAAATTTTTGTGTGTGTATGAATGGGTCCGTAGATGCTTTATATTAACATTTGGCGCTGTTTTCGCAGTAGAAATGCGATCGTTAGGGTGTATGTTAAGGCTGAATCTGAGTGACAAAGTGAGAAATTGTGTGATAGGAGAAGAGTGTGGTTTGCAAGATGATGTTGTGACCAGGATTAAGAAAGGAATGCTTCGGTGGTTTGGTCATGTGGAAATAATGGCAAATTTATGTCACAGAAGTGAACGGAAGAGTCGAAAAGGGTTTATTGACCAAATTGGTTATATTTTAAAAATGGGTCAAATTAAGAGTACTCGTACCCGACGAGCATGTATGCGTAGGTGTGTGGATGTGGAGGAGGTGAAAGAGCTACGGTAGGGTCATGCCAAATGAAAGTCTGTGGTCTCTGCCTACCCCTCTGGGTGACAGGCGTGAGTGTTTATGTTTTTATCTATTATATTATACGATACTACACAAGATTGTTGTCGAGGCTCGTCAAGGTGTTTCACGTATACAAATATCCAGATTCGGAAGAATTATTATCTATAGACCATTCATTAATTAACTAATTCATTGCAGCCCATTGCTTAACAAAGACCTCCCCCTAGATTTCCAGAAGGGGTTTGGCACAGTTGCCACGCTTGGTATGCGGGTTTGCAACCGCAGTTTTTTTATTATTTTAAGTGGTTATTAAGATGACACTGCTGTTCATCTCCTGCATCAGTTTCCCTCTGTCGCCTCTTACGAGACCCACAGGAAGGGACAGGGTAGTCGATATCCTTAATTCGTCACTGCGTGGTTATAGGCTATACAAAAAACAACCAGTTCGTATTTCTTGAGAGCTACTGCAGCTTCAAATTGATATGGATGAGGCATTTAGCAGCTCTCCTGCGCCACTGGAGGCGGCGGGTCCAGAAGCCCGCGGTTCAGCCACTCTGCGCTGGGAGACGTTGCGCGAGTCCCACGGTGGCTGGTACCGTTGCAGGGCTTCCTGGCTTGACGCGGAGTACTCTTCCATCGGTTACTACCTCAATGTCTTGTGTAAGTGATCCTAGCTTCCCAATTCAATTATTTGTAAAAAGTGAATCCTCGTAACGTACATATGATGACGTTTTTATTTGTATTTTAAGAATTATTTAGAACTTACGATGACTTAAATTAAAATTAAAAAAGCTGAAATAAAAAAGGCTGGTCATTAAATGGCTGAAAAGTTTTTTTTAGAGTCACAGCTAAAACATTCTTTATTAAGTCAACTTTGAAAAAAAAAAACTACATCGAAATCCGTTCATCCGTTAAGGAGCTACGATGTCACGGACAGACACGCAGATTACGTTAACAATGAAATATATAACATTCCTCTTCTTAATTATAGCGTGATGTAATAGTTAATAATATTTTAGCAGGTATTGTTTGTTTTAGGCTAAAATCGAATTTCTGTATCCAATATTGGGACAGAAATATATCTTTTCTATGCCCTAATCTATGACCATTAAATATATTACTCTATTAAATTTTAATTAAATATTTTCAGCTCCTTTCGTTTTTCTGAGTGACATACATCCAAACACCATTAAAATAATTTTATTAAAATAGATTTCATGTCAATTTTACTCCAGTTAAGACTTCTTATTTTATATTGTTATTTGCCTTTAAAACTTCTTCATGTCCCCATATATATATATACATATATATATATATATATATATATATATATATATATATATATATATATATATATATATATATATATATATATATATATATATATATATATGTCATAAAGTAACAATCATTTTCATTAAACAAATATTAGATATTATTTTTGGCGTAATTAACTATACAAGGATTGTTACATACATGTTTATAAAACCCGTATAAAAAGATCTAAAGAAGTTATAAATTCAAATCACAAGTTACAAAATTGAAGAAAATGTCTGAAAACATTACCAGAACTCATTTATTAAAAACTATTGCACACAATAGCCGCCGAGGATCCACAGTCGCCAAGTGAAGTTGAAGCCAATAACGAAGAGCCTGAGCATCAGAAAGTTGACGTCCCTTTGGGAGGCAATGTGCAATTGCACTGCCCAAAAGGTAAATAGCACTTTTTTGTTTTTAATTATTTCTAGTCACTTCATATTATCACATTTCATTATTTCCATTACTTCTTCATTAAAGCCTCTAGAAGTCCGCTCTGAACATCGGCCGCCCCATAGATTGCCTCTTAGGAAGGAGTTCACCACAGCTGACACGCGTTTTCTATGTTTTTGTAATGTTGTAAGAAAGATGCTGCTGCTCGTTCCCTGTTTTAGTTTCCCTCAGTCACCTCTTAAAGCTTCTTTCTGAGAGGCAAAAGATGGTAATCAGGCCTCTTTTATTAACAAAAAAAAAAATAGAATAAAAAGGTATGGTTGCCAAACTGCCTGTCAAGCTTGGTAACTGTGACAAACATCTCCTTATGATAAAATCTATGGCTGAGGTCTATATGCAGTAAAAGACTTATCGAGATGTAATGGTAACGGTAACATTAAACAAAGTAAGTAAGTAAACAAGCCAACATCTCATTTGAGGGTACATGGCAACGGTGTGGTGGCCCATGAACACTTGAGATCAATTTATAAGATCTCTTACCATATACTGGAGAGCGAAACTGGCATTAAATAATTGAAATCTATTACAATTTTAACGCTATATATAATACTGACGTTACGCTATGTACACTTATTGCTTAGTATACTATACATCATACAAATAAATATTTTTAATTTACATATTAATTTAACATAACATGCAAGAACTAATGTTAGCAGACAAATAATGTTAACAAAATAATTATACAAATATTTTCCGTTGGATCCCAAAATAGGATAATCCTGTTTCTTGTGGTCTGAGAGCGCAAGTTAAAGTGATTTATGCACAATCTAAAATAGTACCTATGAACCATGATACACTATTTTATAGTATTTGAAAAGCTAATCACAGAAAAAATGATAATTGTATTTTAACCTTTGAATGAATTTATGTACGTTTATGTTATTGTAATAAATTAAGATCTCGTTCCAGGCAGCGTAGGTTGTTGGTGGAGACGCATCGTAGGCAACGCCAGTGAGACTTGGGCACCGGCTGGATCCCATCACGCGCACGGTGTTTTGGGTAAGATGGAAAAAATGTAATTTCTCATTACTCGAGGACTATACAAAACATTTAAGTATGTTACATCATTAATACTGGATTTGTTAACTGCTATTTGTTTTATGTTACTTGCTAATTATTAAAAAATTATTAACAATTTGCTTCCTACTATGAGAGAGGAATATATCGAGTAGTATTTGTATGTTTGGAGGGATTGTAAGAATGTGTCTTTCAACGATAAACATTTATTAAAATATGTGCTTAACACGTAGTCAAAATATTGCCTTTATTTATTTATTTACACTTTATTGCATCTTAATAAAAATATTATATAGGGCTTAATGCCTTTTGGCATTCTCTCCCAGTCAACCCGGGATGTGTGGATAACAATGTGATTGCCTTTATATTTTATATATGTTCTCTCATTCCATATCAGATGTGTATGTGTATTTAGTCAGCTAAGCAAATCTTTCAATTTATTGAAGATATTGGGTTTAGCAGTGAACTACGACCATAGCAGCGATCACAATAGATTTTACGAGTACTGGTCGTAGTGGAACTGCTCTCAATAGACCTGCGTAGCTGCTGCCACAAAGAAGAGGGCTGGTTATTCCATAGAGGAGAGGTGTATTTTCAACAAAATATTCATAAAATTTAAAAATAACAAAAAACTATTCTGGTTTCTTCATTCCTTTGTAGGCTTAAAGTTCATCCATTTTTTTGCATTGAACATGCAATAGGATTTTTTCCTATATTGTGAAGGCTATTTACATACATAAATTTGACAAAGACAAACTTCCAGATCCGGAAAAATTATTAGTAAGCCAAATATTTTTCCTGCGGGTTTGAGACCCGCGGCCATCAGCCACGCAATTAATTGCCGTGACGTCCTTTGTATGTCGTACAATAATTCGTCGAGACATGAATTCACGATACGTAGTGCAGTTCAATAAATTGCGGAGTGATCTGTGTACGCAGGTATTCGGGGCGCGCTGTACCAGGAGGCTGGCGAGTACCGCTGCGTGGGCGCGCGTGGGGCAGACCTGCAGCGCATGCGCGACTTGAAGCGCGTCACACTCCGAGTCACTGGTAACACTACCCCTACTGTTATATTTTTCGAATATATTTATCTCAAATTTTAGCCGACCTTAATAAAGTATGTGGTAGAGCCATGCTGCAGTTATATTAGATGTATAGTTGCAGCACGAATGGGTCGGCTCGACCGGGGAAGGACCACGCTCTCACAGAATACCAGCGTGAAATAGTAGCTTAATGCTGCTGTATTTCGTATGGTGAGTGTAGAGAACCGGCGACCCATTTTACTGGAAACGAGGCATTCCATCTTAGTCCTCACGGGTGACAACACATCTGCATTTTGATTCGTAATCGAGGATAGATGTAGATGTCTATGGGCCACAGCAACCACTTACCATAAGGTGGACTGTGTGCTCGATTGTCACCCTATCCTATAAAAAAAAAGGGAGAAGCTCTCAAACCGACTGTATATATCTTCTTGTTTTATATGTACATTATCTTTGTTAATTATGAACGGGTTACAATAATTTTTATATAATTCAGCGCTAGTTCCACGTAGATTGATAGAGAATGCAACCCCATAAGTTAAAAAAGTCAGTAAATTGTATAAATAATTTTAGACGACATTCTAGTAGTTACACACTATAAAAAGTCAAAATATTAAACCTTCAATGAAAAGTAAAAGCCGTGTTTAAAGAACCACAAAGAATCAAATAATATACACATAATAAGCTTCTAAAGTCTAATGTACAGGCTACTCATTAAGTTAGATCACTTAGAAAAAATATAATTTGATAATTGCGTACTGGTGTGTAGCTTCTGTACTGGTGTGTAACTTCCGTACTGGTGTGTAACTTCCGTAATGGTGTGTAACTTCCGTACTGGTGTGTAACTTCCGTAATGGTGTGTAACTTCCGTACTTCTGCTTATACAACATCATTTTATAATAATTGTCAGTGTCAGTGTTAAAATGACTTTCATTTGGTTTGTTTCGTACTTCAAATTTTCTATCTCGTTTTGCACTCATCTTGTAAACCGTAGACACTACACTTTTTTTTGTTCCTTTGAGTTGTTCTCGTCGACATTCGAGATAAACAGTTTATTTATTGGTCCTTCGAATTAACAAAATTACATCTGTGGATTTAATCCAAAATTAGAAAATTCAGCCCTTAGACTAACATTACTTTGTGTTTTTTCTTGATTTTGTGCGACTACGATCGGTTTAAAGGCTTCCCAGAAGCAGGTTCCACAAGTTTGAGAAGGTGCACAAAAGGTCGTATTAGGTTCGCGAAGACATAGAGTGGCCCGACCCACTGGACAAAGCTCTGATACTTCAGTTATCACAGACAGATTTCGGCGCCATTAATTTTTTTATAGGATAAGATTAGTCCATCCGATGGTCAGTGGTTGCTGTGGCTCATTGACATCTGTATCTATCCTCGATTACGAATCAAATGCGAATGCGTTGTCACCTGTGAGGACTAAGATGGAATACCTCGATTCCAGTAAAAAGGGTCTTCGATTTTCTACACTCACTATACGAAACACTTCAGCATTAAGCTACTATTTTACGCTGTTATTCTTTAAGAGCGTGATCCTTCCCAGGTCTAGCCGACCCTTTCGTGCTATAACTATACTACTAATATAATTGCAGCATGGCTCGTATATTCTTTTTGTATAATCAGTGTTTGTGCATATAATAATAACAGTCTATTACAGTATAATAAAAGTCTATACTATGACAACTCCCGAAAATGGTTCACAGCAAATGGTTTATTGTAAAACGCAACTATAACTAATATCGTTCAAAGCCACCGCTAGAAACAATGACATAACAGAAGTGTATGTAAATGGGGAAATAATAAAAACTGTAAGTTCTGTGAAGTTTTTGGGAATTCATTTCGATGATCTCCTAAACTGGAAAGTTGAGCTGGCAGCCATAGTAGACACAATAAGTTCAGCTAGCTATGCTTTACGTACCTTGCGAGTCAAATTAACCGTTGATAAACTTTTGAAAAATTGTTTTGACGTTTTGTGTTGAGGTTTTTAAAAACAGACATTTTTATGAAAGTGATGAAGAAATGAACGAGAAAGAAAGCGCCAGTAGGATGGACTTGACTGGTTTTAATGCCTAAACTGGATATTTTTAAACACTGTATTCGTTATCAGGCAAATTTAATATTTAACAAGATGCCTAAAAAACTAAAGGAAAAAAAAAGTTAAGTGTTATTAAAACAGAGTTGAAGGCACTACTTATAGAAAAATGTATTTATAATATTGACGAATTTTAACTGTGAAGTAGTTAAAATATTTATTTAAATATACGGGACGATCTTGCACATGTTCACAGACTGCAGACTTCCCGGAGCGTCGGTGCTTCACGTCAGGGAAGTCTGCAGTCTGTGAACATGTGCAAGATCGTCCCCACCATTACATCAGATTTGATAAACCACAAGTCCTCGCAAAAGAACACCGATTCCTACCAAAGATGATACGCGAGGCTATTGAAATTAAAAACATCCTAATTTCAATAGAGAATATGGTTGGGTGCTGCCATCTGCTTGGGATCCTATAATTAACAAAATTAAACCCAAACCCAAGCATACCACTGCAAGACTTCAAGATACTGTAAGTTCGTTTTACGTAAATCGGACCAAAAATTAATATATACTGAAGGTAGCCGGGCTAACAATGACATTGGAAGGTCAAACATCTCAGTCCCCCCCGTGACCATGGTTGCTGTAAAGCACCCGAAACGTCGGTAATTAAAAATAAGTAAAAGTAGTGAAATAAACGCGATAAAATCCGTAAATTTAGTTTTATTCAATGTGTAGTGTTCGCGTAAATTTAAGAAATCATTTTATTAAATTTAATAGTTAATTTATTTTAATAAATTTTTACTTTTTATTTTATTTTATTTTTAAACGTTTATTTTATTTTAATATTATGGAGTAGGTTGACATTAGCTAGTTGTTTTTGTTTGGTTTCTCTTTATTATACAATGCAAAAATATATTATTGATCATTTATGATGCATATTAATTGAAATAATTATATAAATGAGAAAGGCACAATGACATTTATTAGATAACTTGTTTATTTAATTGTTTGATTACCTAATTAATATATTTTGTTTAGCTAAATTAAGGCTTAGCAATATAATAGGGAAATTGCTGTAATATTCGTACACAATTTATTGTTAATGAATAAAAATATTGATTGATTGATAGAGTCAACTTTGAGTGTACTTTTTTCGTCCTTGGAGTGTCACACAGCCAATATACAAAACATGGTGAGTCTACTTCAGCGCCAACAAGACATTGTTGAAAAGATCAAGGGATGACCCGTAAGTACTTGAGTGAACAACTCGACTCTCTTGATTAATTATGTGCCGAGTTTCAAGTTAACAACAACTAACTATCCAACTATGAGAATTACACTGACACTCATTTTACAAAAAAATAATAACAACAAGCCAGGACATACTTTGATTCTGTGCGTATCACGATATCATCTTTTCCTCTTGCAAATAAAATTTATGCACCTCCAACACCAGAAATGCTGCTTAAGATCGCGCCACAAGAGTTACCTTAAAGTACGGTTCAACCTAAACTACAGCCGAGACTCACACTACCACCAACATTATCTACGATGATGACCACGCCTGCAGATCAAGGTCAGGCAGCAGAACTGATATCTCTGCAAAGAACTATCTTCAAAGCTTTCCGCCGACAAGTCAGTAACTTACAACTTGATGAGATATGAGACAAGCGGGAGCTGGAAGATGAGTTACTCAACATCAGAGAAGTTGAAATCCAATCCTACGCCTTACATCTACAGATCGATCATATTTTCAAGGTTCAGGTACAGAGTACGACAATGAGTTTTATGCCTACGAAAATTCATACTAGAGCATCAGCAAAGCTTAGAATCTCAAACTCGCATTTACGATACATCTGCAACAGCCAACACCACAAATCGACATACCTACATTCACGGGCAAATACACATAATGGCTTAAGCTCTACGATCTTTACGTAGAGTGTATGCATAAGGACAACCTGCTCACAAAAAGACAGAAAATGCAACACCTGAAAGGTAAATTACCAGGAGATGCCGAGCGACTTATTCAGCATGTAAACTCAGCAGGAAAATATGACACAACATGGGAACTGTTGATATTTGTATAACAAACCACAACTGTTGTTTACCAAATCAATCGAACGTTCACAAATAGTCGGGATACGAGATTAGACATCATGTAGTGTGTGCGACAAGTTTATGGAATGTATCCTTGCCACATAGAACCTAGGTATCGGTACAAGTACCTGAAACCCACTGCTAGTTCACCTCATATCAGAAGCCGGATACTAAAAACATACAATGACTCTCGCGCGCTTGAAATCGCTTTCTGAACTTAGGGCCTTTAAGAGACTAATATCAACGCTTAAGAGTCATTACGTAAAAGGGAACGGGAGTTTTCTACATCATCCAACAAGCCATACTAACAGAAGATGTACAGCAAGCCATACAAGCCTTACTTGCTACAAGTTGGTGGATGGATGGTGGTGGTTGGAAAGTTTCTCAACACAGAAATTCAAGCTGTTGTGGCATCTTTGTTAAACTTTCCTGTTTGCAACAACAATCACTACCTATATAAGTCCAGCAAATTCATCCAATTTTCACGATTTGGACGAGCGGCTAATGGCCGTCAATAAACGAAATTATTGTCACAATAGTTTGTATAGTGCGCGCAAGATAACTCTACGCGCGACTGATGGCGTGCTTAATGTTGCCAGCTTAACTAATATTTTTTCCTTCGTTTAATCTTATTACTGGAATTGTATAAATATAACAAATTACATAAATTACCTAATTGATTACCAAATCTCAATTAAAAAAACTGTAATGTTCAGCCTAAACTTACAAAGAACTAATAATTTTTTAAACCCCATATTTATTGTTTAAGATCCGCGTAATAAATATATTTCTTGATTCTAACTTTCATAAGTTTGATACCTCACTACACAAGTTTAACTACGCCACTACAATTTTTTTTACACAATTACAGGTACCTATTATATGCGTGTATAAAAAGGACTAATACTAAGATTAATGACTACTGATATTTTGTCTATAATAAATTTTTCCAAAAAAGGTATTTTGAAACAACTGAAATAGCATTATAATATTTATTATAAAGAACGAAATAAAAAGTCCAAGGAAACCTTGTAAATCTTTTATTGAATACCTATTATTATTTATAAATTTGGTGTAACAATGGTCCTGCAGTGGATCAACGCCTTCCATTCGCATATCTTCATCAGAATCCATGCTAGAGTCTTCATCAGATGACTCGGATGTGTCACCTGTAACATTAATTACAAATTCATCCATTTCCATATCCATCAGCCTATCTGATTGGAAATATTTATCTTCTATTTTTTCTACATGTTGGCATACGTTGAACCATTCTTCTGTCGTTACTGTTCTAAACGCCGCCTCAGTAATAGCAGCTATTTCGCTAGGAGCTTGAGTGATATTTTTCTCTGCAATGCGTCTCTTTACTATTGCCCAAATTTTTTCTATGGGATTTAAATCGCAGTGGTAAGGCGGCAAACGGAGAACCTCATGTCCATATTTAGCATTTAATCTATTTCGTACTGTGGGTCTCTTTTGTATTACCTAAAACAAAATAAAAACAATGCATTATAAATACATGATATTAATGACACGAGGAAATTAAAAAGGAACAAATAGAGAAAATTGGGGAATTTTATTGTAATGGCATCCCTAAAAATTACCTGTTAAATATGCAACGCGGGCTCTAACTTTGGAAAACGGTACTATAGGCCCGTTATTGTCTCGTTCTTCTTCACAAGCACGTTTGACCTTCAAAATAACATCCCTGCCAGCACTTTTAATCATTTTCGGCATAATGATAACGATTAATTACTGCAAAAAAAGAATAAAAACAGGACACCTACCACTCTGTTTAGACACTTGCCACAAACAGTAAGATGGCGGCACACGATTAGTTCCAATTTTGGCCGCGCGCAGAGTTATCTTGCGCGCACTCTACGCACATATTGAAAATCTATATATGTCATCCATATGTGTGTTTGTCAAAAGAGTTATTAGTGTGTGAGTGTGTGAGTGTTACATGACGCATATACGAATATGAACCTTAATCTATATATGTCATCCATATGTGTGTTTGTCAAAAGAGTTATTAGTGTGTGAGTGTTACATGACGCATATACGAATATGAACCTTAATCTATATATGTCATCCATATGTGTGTTTGTCAAAAGAGTTATTAGTGTGTGAGTGTTACATAACGCATATACGAATATGAACCTTAATCTATATATGTCATCCATATGTGTGTTTGTCAAAAGAGTTATTAGTGTGTGAGTGTTACATGACGCATATACGAATATGAACCTTAATCTATATATGTCATCCATATGTGTGTTTGTCAAAAGAGTTATTAGTGTGTGAGTGTATGAGTGTTACATGACGCATATACGAATATGAACCTTAGTCAGCAAAGAGACGGACTGACGCGACGGCGGGGTTGTCGCCCGTACCTTAGTTAATTACATATTTATACTGTGCCCGTACCTACCGCTTCAATTACGCAATACTTAACAACATAGTGTTAATCATTTCACTACAAATAACGAAGAGATTCTACTGACGGCTTTATCTGTCTTAGTCAAAGCTCCCGATGGCACGTACATCGCCTTGAGGTGCCTTCTAGATCAAGGTTCTTAAATTTCACTGATAACTGAGAAGGCCGCTCAGATGCTGGGTTTGCCTGGATAACCAAAACATTACAAATACAATATATAGCTATCACAAATGCATGGTAACCAAGACTATGCTCACATAGTCATTAACAACGTTATCAACAATCTGCTAAGCATGTCGTTATATTATTGTTGTTTTTACTTATTTTTTAGTTTTCCTCTTTTAACGCGGCATTACGGCACAAAACTTAATAAAACATGCGTTGTTCGTTAATCTAGATTACTTAGAAACAATACTACTTGTTAATTATGCACAGGCGTAAAACTTCCTATATCTGTGTATACATCATTTTTATAACAGTTGTATATAAGGTTTAATATTTTTCAATAAAATCAGTGTTAGAACGACTTTCATTGGGTTTCCGATTAATAAAAGGGTCTCCGGTTCTCTATATTCACCATACGAAACACATCAGTATTAAGCTACTATTTTACGCTGGTATTCTGTGACAGCGTGGTCCTTCTCCGGTCGAGTCGGCCCATACATTCTATAACTATACTATTAATATAACTGCAGCACGGCTCTGCCACGTATTAATTATACACATATTAATTATTGGGATAGCCCAGTATTAGGTAAGTTTGTTTGTAAGTTAGGTAGTCTAGTATTCCTGTGTATTCACATTGTCACGGTAGTGTAGTTAACTTGTAAGTCAGAAAATAAAAGTAATATCTTAGAAGGAAAAAGTCTTCATCGCGTTCCATTTCAACCCTTCCTTAGCTACCACAAATGTGAGCTAGAACGTCGTAAGAGTACAAGGACATATCGTACAAAAGTACTTTAAATTTCATGTGACTAATGCACCTTTACCTTGTAGTGGAGCCACGTTGCGACATATTATACAAGTAGTTGCAGCACGCATGCGTCGAATTGACGGTAGGAACATTATTGCACAAAACACCGGTGTGAAATATCAGCATAATGATGACTTCGAATGAGTGACGCGAATCGGAGAGCTCTATTCTCTAGTAAATAGTCATAGACATTCAGTCCTCAGGAATAACAACTCATCTACAATATGCCCTCGGTATAGCTGAACCATTCGTACTACAACCATAATATAGAATATGGCTCTTCCACGCATAAAATACATAAATTATACGCTATGAAGCTTTCCGCATTAGTATGCGTTACATAATTGAGTTAGTTGGTACAAAAGTGAGAGTGTATTGGTAGGTGGTGCGACGGCGACAGCACTGAGCGCGAGCCCGACGCCGGGCGGCTGGCGGCTGGAGTGCGGCGCGTGCGGGCGCGGTGTGCGCGTGCTGTGGCTGCGCGCCGCTCGCGCCGAGCCCGCGCGCCTCGCGCCCGACGCCGTGCCCCACTGCCACCGCGCCGTGCTGCACCTGCCCGAGCCCGACGAGGTACCCGCAGCTGGCACTCGACACATAGACGTACCCACTGGTAGCAGCAGCACGAGACCACGAGGTATACACAGCCGACACTCGGGATATAGAGGTACCCACAGGTAGCACTGACACCAGACCAAGAGGTACACACAGCCAGCACTCGGGACAGAGACGTACCCACAGGTAGCACCGGCACCAGACACTGAGGTACCCACAGATAGCACTCGGAACATAGAGGCCCATGTACCCAAGCTAGTATTTGGAAAATAGAGGTCCCTCCGGCACCAGACCCGGGCCCTAGCCTGGCCCGACACCTCGCCGGCCTGATTCACTTGCATGTATTGTAGTGCGGCAGTGCTGGTTGCGTGGTCAAAACCACAGAGTACCTTTTTATGAAACTAGTATCTTAAGGCTCAGACTAAGATTGAGCCCGTGGGCTCTAACGCGTGCTACAAGCGCTGTGCTCCTAACGTAGTGCTCTGAACGTAGTGCATCCAATTCTGGGCGTCTCTTCTGGTACGTAGTTACACACTACTTTAATAGTTTCACCTGCACAAGCCCGACGAGATAGCGTGCCCACACGCAGCTCGCAACCGCACATACATTTGACACATTGGTTCAGTCTTCTACTAAAATTACCCGATTGGTAAGTAATACCGCTCTGTGTTTCTACTACTCGATCACATAGGTTGGAAATGTCCTATAAACCAAATTTCAACCACTGCGACCAGTTTCAATGGAGACTAGCCATTTCGTGGGGGGGCTTCCTCTATCTCTTCATTCTTCACTCTGGAATAAGTTGCAGGACCAATGGATTTATGATTTTAATCAAAAATTGTATTTACCACCACTAGACCAACGAGGCAATAATTAAGGTTGTACGTACATTTTGACTTTTATAAGAAGTGATCTAAAGCTAGAGTGCCAGAAGGGTGTCAAGGCGCTGCAACCGACTAAGCTGCAAAGAAAAGAGATTCTTATTGTTGGTAACGAGACGTTTCACCTTAGTCTTCAGTAGTGACAACGTCTAATTTTCTAATCAGAATGGTGCTCGCTTATCTAGTATTTGATTACGGTAGCCTCTTTTATTGTTGCCAGTCAATAGACGATAGGATAAAATTCGTGTGGTGCAGGTGTGGTGTGCAGCAGTGACAGCGAGCGGGGGTGCAGTGGCGGTGTTCCCGCGCCGCGCCGCGCCAGCGCCTGCTCGCCACGCCGGCCGCGCGCTGCCCTCGAGTGCTCACTCGCACTCGCGCGGACACGAGCTACTAGCACTCTTACTTCTCAACTCGCTCTCTATGTACACCCTCATCTCTATGGTTTAATTAAACAACAAGATTTAAATTGTAATTTGTTTTAAAAAGCTCGCTTCATTACGCCGATTGTTTGATGGTTTGAGTTAGTAATTTTGTAAAACTCACGCCATCCCAAAAATCGGCGAGAACGTTAAATTTAGATATTAAATAAGTTCAAACTCAGCGCATTATTTATGGAAGTGAAGGCCAATATAATACAGATTACCTGGCGGGAAGTGATCATCATCGCTCAAAAACATTTACAACACATCTGCAAACCTTTTAGAAATGAATAGGCTATTTTATTGAAAGTCTCTAAGTCTTATCGGTCTGGAAAAACTACTGACGACATTAAATTCCACAGCATGTCTCTGCTAGCCAGAAAATTTCCCGTAAAATGTACAGTAGTGGACTGCTATCGAGATAGTGAAAATGGAATTTCGATTTCTGTCGTAGTATACGATGGGGGAATTTAGCTGCTGGAATTAATCCAAACAATTTCTCTGAGCACTCCTGTTTTAACTTACAAATTTTTATAACTTTTGTATTCTTAATGAGGGCTAAGTTCTTAAACTGCAATATTATTGAAGTCTGCGGGAATCAAACAAACTAAAACTTTGTTAATATTGTGTCTGTAAACTCCTGTAAGTCAACTAGGTACAGATCGTTCTCTCGTTACAAATAGTGATAGAGTGGAAAGGTATAATTTAATGGTTGAAGTCCGGATTTATGAACACACTATACAAAATTTATTAATGCGATTTGATGAAGTGAGTTTAGTTCTGTTACTTATACAATGTACGTGGTATGGTAGATTAATGTCATTATTTCATTTAAATGAAAGCTATCAATTTAAAAAGGCTGCTACTAAATCCCAGAAAAATTACAACGTCAATAAAAAATATGTTCCGGAAATGGCAAGTATATATTATATATAACCTACCTACTATGTTTTTGATTCTTAAGATACTTACCATTACTAATAAATTAGGAAAAGAAGAATGGCTTCTATTACAGTTTAAGCATGCAGCAAAACAAGTTAAAAAGTTATTATATGCAAAACTAAAAATTTTTTGTTTTAAACTTACACAGATATTTGTTAATCTGGGAATAGAGGGTTACCTGAACAAATGATCTTCTTACGTAGTGTTTACTGTAGGCAATATCGTATCGTCTATACCTTAAACTAGTCTTTGTAGTGCTATTGTATCTCTGTAATACGCATTTATAATGGATCTATCTCTCTCATAACTTTTACACGTTGAGACGTATCAACGTTGCTTTAGATTACTTTTAAAGCTTTATTATTTATGGATTTGTACTTGTCTTTCTATTTTTTTTAATGTGTTGTTGTATTTTTTATTTTTCAAGATTAACATTTTCTTCCGTTTTTTCAAATTATTTTTTGATAATAGCCTTTGTAGTATATATTAAAACAGGATTTAATGTGCCAAAATTGTTATTATATTCATAATAGATTTTTCTTATATCAAAGAACAACATAATATCATGTCGATTAACATATTTTATTTTTTAATGTTTTGAAACAGAAAATTAAGTGCAATGCAAACACCAAATTAAAAGTTAGAATATATCGTATAATAATGAATATGTATGTAAGTTAGAAGCAACGACCGAAAGGTTCTAATAGTATGGTAAATAGGCAAACGTAAGAAATCAATGTAACGCCTTGCGGGCATATATCTGTTATATTTTATATAGATGTCAAATTCGTAATAAAAATAAAGTAATAATACGATGTGTATCATAGCTTAAAATCGTAGAGCAAACTGGCTACCGGCCGACCGGAGGGCAGCAGCCACACGCAGCGTTCCACTTCGTCAAAGAATCAGTCCACGCGGTCTTGTGCGTAAAAATATTTGCATCCGCACTTCACAGTCACTCACAGAGCTAAATCGACGTCCTACAAAAAGGCCGAATGGTTCAGTTCTTTTTTTTGCTATTGTTTTCAAAAAAGATGCGTTTATTTCATATGATTTTTATCACATTACTACTTTTTACTTCTTTTTAAACCTAAAAATTACAATAATAACGGTCATGTCGTTTCGGATTTGTTTACCAACACAGACTGCTCGCCCTTATGCAATGCGAAAATTGATCGAACCACTGATCCGAGTCTGTATCCGTATCGTCGCTATCACCGAGCTGTATAGTTATAATGTATCTTATCTTATGTGTGTGTGAAATTTTTAGTATATTGTTTTAATTGTTATGTGTTATTATTATATATATTGTTTTAATTATTATGAGTCTTGTAGTGACAGACGAATTGAAAACAATATTGTCCTTTTATGTTTTAGAGTGCGCAGATTAGCCACTGCAAAAAATGACAGACATTTCTGTATCGGAAAAAACCGCTATTGCTACTAGCATCTGGCTCGCCGGTGGCCCATGTTGCTCTATGCTTAAAATGAGTCGTGTAAATTTCGATGTCAATTTTAGATGTCCGTTTAGATCGGGCGAGTTTTGTATGAAAGGATTTGCTACCACAATTTTTGCAACAATTATAGTAGTGTAAGCGTAAGAGATTTTATCAGATGTTTGATGTTGAAATGTTAATATCGATGGTTAGTTTCTCATTGGTTGCGTTTCTCGTTTCTTCTACGTTCTTTTCATCTCTATTGTCTTTCAACTGTGTGTAATCTGAAATGCAATCTGCTGCAGAATAAAATATCGTTATTGTTGTTAAGAATTGTGATATCAGTTGAGGCGCGGGCGCGTCGCGGGCCGATATCTCAAAGAGAATTTAAAGTTATTATTAAAGAGAATTTAAAAATCAGCGGTCGTTGAAATTAAGTTAGGAGTAGTGAGATGTATTTTTGTATCGTCTCAAAATTTACGGTCAATTGGACAATGAGTTTTTCTACTTGAAAGGGTATAATATTTAAAGAGCAAAATAAATTCATTTATGTACCTGGAGTTTTGGAAAACGTAATGATCCGTCCGATGCGGAAGTCGAGTAGTTAGATAAGAAGCTACGTAGAACCCTTCCTTATTATTATTACACCCTCTCAGAATTTGTATGCGATAACCAGATACGTATAGCTAGACCAAAATCTATTAAATGAATTTTTATATGTGTAAGATGTCCTTCCTTCACCTGCTGTTGTAGCATCTTTTGAAATCCTTTCCTTACCCAGCACCCAAAGCTCCGCGGCCCCCGCACCTCGTAAATATTTTAGTATAGCTACCGAAATCGATCAGTCAATATTCTCTCCATTATCAAAAATAAAGTTATTTATATAAGGCTAATCTTTTTTCTCCTCTGAAACATATTGTAACAGTTATACAGGTTACTGTAACTATTATTGAGAAAACTACTAAGTAAATAATGATAATTTACGGTTTCGTGGCATAAAACTAATTTGACGTATTTAATCGCAACGTCCTGATGGCAGTCAAACACCTCAGTCCCACTAGTGAACTCGCATGCTGTTAAGATTGAAAAAGTTAAAATAAACGCTATAAAATCCGTAAAATTAGTTTTATTTCATGTATATCATTCAATAAGTAACTATAAATATTTCTTTTATGACTACATAAGAGTAATTAAGGTAGTTGTAGTTTAAATAAAGTTTCCTAAATAGAATTGAACAGTCACTTTCACATTTCTACTCCAAATTCGCGTTGGCTGGTCGAGGTCGGCAAAGTTGTAAATCAGTTGTAAGATTTTTTACTTAGCGTCCACTTCGATACTATGAGGTATCGCATTCGGTGCCAATACATTAATTAATAGATCATAACTATAATATATATTTACATTTTATTACTATAAATTTTATTGTTTACTTTGATATTGAATGTACAGAATCCATATATTCATTGCAATGTGTTTATAGGATACTCCTATACCAGATAAATATACGAGATAAAAAGTGGAGTAGTTTTTCATTTCATGCCCAGTGATATTCCTTAAGATACTATACCTTAATAAAGAAAAGAGATATCGAAGAGTGAAGTGGCGGTGTAAGAATATCCGCTACCCCAATCTTCGCGTGGGTGTTGTAAGAGAAAACAGGGGAGTACAAACCCGGAGTTGGGCAGCAGCAGTTCAGTAATGAGGACTAAATAATTAAAACCTGAAAAAGATGTGACAAATCTTCCTCAGCAACGAAAATGTTACGAGCTAAAAATAGTTTCAAATATAAGCGCTTTCATTCCTACTGTTGAGTCCAAAGACTATATAGTATATACTCATATACTATTAGACCGATTATTCTGAATAAAAACTGCTATACAGCTGCGGATCGCGGGCAGGAGCATTCTATGTGGGAAGCTGGCACGGTAAATATGCCACGCAGTTGTAATTTTATTAACGATAGTTACTGTTTTAGGCAAATTCGAAATAAAGTTACATAATTATCTGAAATAAACTTAAAATCATGTCGATAAAGTGCGCAAATAAATAATGACAGCGTTTTCTTAAACACATTAAACAAAATCAGTATCACATTGTCGAAAATAACGTTCGCGGTTTTACTAGTCTTCTCTCCCGGTCGCATTCAACTGAAGGAGCTACGGATAATTGACCGTAACTTAGTGCACAATATATTAAAGCTGCAGAGTCCATCCGGTAGTATACGTAGAAGTTTAGTTAAATCTTATAATGAACTCTTGTAGGATAACAAATAATCCTTTAGTTCATTTATCCGTGATGAATTAGGAGCCAAGTACATTAAACTTCACAGTACGTGAGCTATTGTTTTGTTTAAGTAATGATTTCCCATGTTTTTTTAAACTAAAATGAGGATGATAGAACAAGGCACACAGTCCACCAGATTGTAAGTGGATTCTGTGGCCAATAGACATCTACATTTATCCTCGTGTTTTTAAATGGGGAAGAACTGAGCCCTATTGAGTCCTTGTTTTTATTTTCACTCTCGACGCAAAGCTTCGATGGGGATCCCATATATCTAAACTAGCAAGGCAAACTAAGCTCTGCAGCTTATGCTGTAAAAAAGTTTAGAGATCTCATTAGTGTCGAGACAGCTAGATTAGTTTATTTCAGT